ATATTGATGTATCATATTATTGTTTTAATTTGCATTTTCCTGATGACTGATTATATGGAGTACCTTTTCTTATGCTTATTGGTCATTTGGAGTTCCTCTTTTGTGAAGTTCCTGTTTAATTCTTTTGCCCATTTTTCTGTTGCTTTGTCAGTCTTTTTCTTACCGATTTACAAGAATTTTAAAAATATATTCTGAATACAATTTCTTTGTTGGATATTTGTATCACATGTGTTTCTGTCTGCTTTGTATTTTCCCTTTTGACTTCCTTAATTGTATCCCTTGAAGACCAGAATTTTTTTGTTTTTGTTTTTTAAAATTGTAATACAGTCCCGTTTCTCAAACTCTTCTCCTATGGAAAATCATTGACGATGCCAAGGATGTAGAGATTTTTCCCTCAGAAGCTTGTTTTACTTTCTAAATTTTGGCTATGGTGTGAGGTAGTAATTATGGTAGGTAAAGTAATTATGTTCATGTATGTGTTTATAATTTTTCATTAGACCCAGAGCCATTTATTGAAAAGACCACCCTTTCCTCCCTTACATTGGCACTGTTATTTTAAACCAAGTGGTCATATATGTGTATGTCTGTTTCTAAACACTGTGTTGTATTCCAATTTAAAAAAACAAAAAAGTAATATTTTAAGTGGAATCTTTTTAAAAAAGTGTTTCTAGTTGGATTTTGCTAAGAAATAGTTATTTTATATTGATTATACCCACCTTTACTAAATTCACTTATTAAAGCTAATACTTTATTTGTAGATTCATTTGGGTTTTCAGAGTACTTAGTATATGTATGCAAATTATTGCATTTTTTATTTCTTCAATTCTAGTCTGTATACCTTTTATTTCTTTTTTGTGTCTTATTATTGTACTGCCTAAAACATTGAGTCTAGTTGAAGTAGTGATGATGGACATCACAGTCTCAATCTCAGTCTTAGGGTTAGGAGCTTTCAATATATCCCTATTCAGTACGCTTTTTATCCACTACTTTTTTCTGCCATCTATTCAGTTAATCCTGTGTTTTTCTCTGTTATTTTGTTAATATAGTAAATTAAACCTAAACAGTTTTCAAATGTTAATACAATCTTGCATTTCTGGAGTGCCCAACTTGGTAGTAATATATTATCTTCCTTATACTCATCATATACCTTTGGATTTAGTGTTTTGACATTCTTGTTCAGTATTTTTGTATCTATAATTTTTCCTGTCTTGTATTGTCCTTGTTAGGCTTTTGTGTCAAGGTCATGCTGGTCTCAAAGAAAAAGTTGAGAACAGTTTTTGTCACTGAAAGAGTATAAAATTGGTGTTAATTTTTTTTTTTAATATTTGGTAGAATTTACCAGTGAAATCATCTAGATCTGTTTTTATTTATGTGTGGGAAGAGTTTTAATAATGGATTAGTTTTATTAATAGATACAAAATTTTTTGGCATTTTGCTAAATTTGTTTTTTCAAGTATGTGTTTATGTAAATATTTTCAAATTTTTGGGTATATAGTTCACTGTATACCTCAAGAGTCTAGTTTGGTCCCCCTTTTCATTCCTAATATTGGAGATCTATACCTTTTTTTCTTTGATCCATGTTGCTGGAGAATTGTCAGTTTCATGAACCTTCTTCCTAAAGAAGGTCTTTTCTGTGAATGGTTCTGGGTCAAATGGAAAATTATAAACACAAACACATGAACATACATACTTTACCTCACACCATAGCCAAAATTTAGAAAGTAAAACAAGCCCATTCACAAAGAATTTGACAACTTTTTAATTAAATACTTAAGATAATCTTTATTTAAGTTATGTTTTAAGTATTAGAACTAATTAAAATGCATTAGTTAAGTTAATATGATTATTTACTCAGAACATAAAAGGCCATTTTAGACTGAAATCCTCAGTCCGTAGTTAAACAGAGAACAGGTAAATTATTTGGAGACTTGCTCTTGACTAGCAACCTCCATCAGTTATACAGATTATCTGCATGTAAAAATCACCAGATAGTTGTGCTTTTTTGGTTTTTTGGTTTTTTTAATATTCTATAAGCCAATAGGGGAGTTACTTATTTTTATTAAACATTTTTACTTTGTCTGCTATGAACAAGCCCATCAAGGCAAATAAGCTTCATTCCCGTTCCTCAAGGAGACCATTTTAATAAAGTTATTGCACAATCAAAAGGTGACTTTGTGCTTTTTCATATGGGTATAAATATTTAATTTTAAAAACAAGCCTTTTGTATAATGCTATAATTAAATTACAGTTTTTACATATGTGATCTCTTTAATCTTTTCCGTTACATTTATCTAAGTGTCAAGAGCCAGGAGACAGGAGGAGTCACTAACATCAGTTAAACTTTTAACAAATTTGGAGAAGATAACTGATATTCAGTACTTTTATACAATTCTCGTATTATAATTTTCTACTTGTTCTCCTATAACTTTACTCTTGGAATGCCTTCACACCTTGTCTTATATATTATCAGAGCTTATACTTTACAAGTTAACTCATATAGTTAGACTCTCTGGTCTTAGAATATGATTTGTTCATTATAGCAAAAGTCCAAATATTTTTTTTTTCTATGCGGATATACCATAGACATTAGGTCCTGGTGTGTGGGATCCTCAGCCTGTCACAAATTTCATTTTGCCACCTGCTTCAACCTGAGTGGTGTATCTTCACCTGGCAGACTTTACTGAAGTTGCCGTGACTCAGGATATTTATTATTATTATTGATCATGGCTGCTGTAGATTTTAAAATAAGCATTTGAAAAGATCCCAAAAGTCTTTTCTAAATACCTTGATCTCTTTTTTTATCTATGATTGTAGGTAGCGATTATAATGGCTGAATTATTGGTAACTTTGGTAACTTACTGAGTTTTCTGTTTTATTTTTAAGAACAGGTAGCAAACTCGTAAGCACACATTGATGGTGTATTGTGAAATATTTTGATTGCTCCTGTCAATGGAAACTCTTTACCTAATGTCTTATTTCCAGGAATGACACCTCATTTATTTGCTATGTGTGTAATAGAAAGATACTAGGAACACCATGATGAAAGAAATCTAAGTCACAATGTACTTATTAGGTATGTGACTTTGTATAATTTTTTCATCTTTAAAATGGGAATAAAGATATTTGGAGGGTTTTGGGAGAGATTACATCAGAGTAGGTCCTTAAAAATGGATATTTATTTTTCAAATGTACATTGAATGCCAACTCTGTAAGACACTCTTCTAGAAAATGAGGATATAATAGAGAATAAAATAGTCAAATCCCCCCACTGGAGAACTCTTCATTTTTGTCTGTCTCCACAGATTGGGATGGAAGCTCTGTGACAACAGGGTACATGCCAGGTGGTATGTACCTGGCACCGTGAAGGGCAACAGGGCAGGGTCAGTTCATGGGGCGTAGTGGTGGGATTCTGTCTTCGATAGGGTTGTCAGGGACGGGTTCTCTGAGGTGACATTAGGCACACTTGAATGAAAGAAAGAAATATGTAGGTCCTTGGGAGAAAGATGTATCTGGCTGGTAGAGGGGGCAGCTTGGCAATTTGAGGAATGGTGAAGTGGTTAGTATGTCAGTATAGCTGGAGCTATTTGGATAAAGGATAGAATACTAGGAAATGAGTTCAGAGAGTGATCCCAAAACACAAGAGATGTAACCTTTTGGATAAATAATACAGACAAAAAGTTACATTCCAGATATGCTAGAGAAATATGAAATTAGAATTGACTGTTTGCATTGTTTTATCAATTATTTAGCTTTAATTTGGAGCTCTTAATAACAGACACACACGAGTGATTATATTTTTCCAAAATCAAATTATCTATTTTATGTATTTATATAATTGTACCTGGAGTTAGCCAAACTGTGAGGTTTGAGGGCACAGCCCTTCACACTGGCAGCTCTGCCCAGGACTTTTGACACCAACAACAAAGGAGTTAAGCTCCAAATACAAAGTTAGAGGGAAGAATTCACACAAGACCACCCTCGTGTCAGAGCCAACTGCAAGTTCAGGGGGTTTCCATAACCACCCTCAGGTTCAACAATTCACTAGAACTACCTAACAAAACTTACTGAAAGCTGTTCATGGTTATGATCCATTCTAGGGAAAGGACACAGGTCAAAAATTAGCCAAAGGAAGACATGCATAGTGTAGAATCTGAGGATTCAAATCAAAACTTTTATTTTCCTTAGGAAGTGTCCCCTTCCCTAAATCGATTGTGACAATATTCTGCAAGTTCACCTGAGCTTAGTGTTCAGATTTTATTGGGACATCATTGCATTGGCATATTGATGGATTGATTAATTGATTGATTTCCCACGTGGTTTAACAGTCTCAGAATTTGAGCTGATGTCACATGGCCTTGTGGCCCACAATGAATAACAGAGACACTTCCATCATCTGGGCAATTCCAGGTGTTTAGAAATTACTTCCTAGGAGCTGGTGACAAAGGCCAGACCTCTCTCCAGGAAAGACTGAATACTTTACTGTATACATTATTACAAAAATTCAAGCTATATAATATAGAAAGTACATGACCCCTTGGAGTGCCATTTCTGTGAAACAACTAGTGTTATATTGGTTGTTTGGTGTAGATTATTCCAGATGTTTAATACATATATAAACTTCTTTTTTTGAAATTACCTTGAATCATATGATACATCCAAGTATTGATCAATAACTAGCCTTTTTCACTTAAAAGTGTATGTATGTATGTGTATGTTTTTGCATGTGTTTTAATAAGTACCTTGAAGTTGAACACTGGGGGTAGTTTCAAAATTTTCTCCATCTAATAACTAGTACTTCATTGAATATCCTTGTACACAAAACTTCGTGTATTATTTCAATTTTCTCCTTAAAATAAGTTTCTTGAAATAGAATTGCTGAATCAAAAAGTGTGGTCAATTTGAAAATTTATATGTACTTCATTATTACTCCCCTTGGGATATTTTCTATGAAATAGTGTATGGAGTATCAAAATTGTTAATAATCGCCATATTACTCTTAGGTAAACACTGTAACTTCGGCAGTTTCAAATGTTGAGTTTGCCCATGCTCAACATCTCAGCTCAGCCATGATTCCTACTCTGCAAAATGAATTGTTTTTGTCATCCTCAAATGATGGGAATCTGGAAGCACTTATAGCTTCAAGCACTCCACACATGAATGGGAAACCTGCTTGTGATGAATTTGATCAACTCATCAAAAATATGGCCCAAGTAAGAACATTTTTTCCTGTTAGTTATGATAGAACATATACTATCTTAAGATTGTAATCAAGCCCTGGATAATGTGAAGAATATTTACACAATTGTATTATGTAATATATGTTAAATATGTATGCTAAGTATGTAATTTGTTAAATATAGTGTTAAGTGTATTCTTATTAAGGTATTTATAACACCTGAAAAAGTTGGAATAAATAAGAAGTAGACTTTGTGTGGGTTTGGGTGGTTCAGAACATTTTCTATTTCATTTTTTTTTTTTAATTATCACATTGTAAACTGAGTGTGATATTTCATGTTCTAGGAATATTCCTCAAGATAAATAAAATACCTCATTCTAGGTGATAGATAAAGATTATTTTAGAAAAAATGTTAAAATATTACTTTAACAAAGTGATGCCACTAATAGAATGACTGTAAGTATAGCCATTGACTTTTAATTTTATTTTGTCTTTGTTTCCTGAACAGGGTCGCCATGTAGAAGTTTTTGAGCTTCTCAAACCACCATGTGGAGGCCTCGGGTTCAGTGTTGTGGGACTACGGAGTGAAAACCGGGGAGAGCTGGGGATATTTGTGCAGGAGATCCAAGAGGGCAGTGTGGCTCACAGGTATGACTGTCGCAGTGTCTTCTCTGTTTTTGATATTACATTCAGGTGTTGATCACCTTGGAAGAATTTAGAGAAACAAAAATGAACAAAAAGAAATAAAAAACTGAATAACGATAGCAACCACTTTTTAGATATCATTAACATTGCTATGATGAAGAGTAAGCTTTTTTGAAATGAGAGTAGCTTTTAAATATAGTCATAACTTAATCACTTGTAGTAAAGAAAGAAAAATTGGAGTAGCACATTATTCTCGTTGTTTTTAAATGGGTTGTCTTTGATTAATTTTAAAATGACTACCTGGAAAACAATACATGTGACCCATGATAATTTGAGCTATGCTTTATTAATATACTCAAAACAAGAGGTAAATACATTCATCTTTGCTTTCATTTGTAGGAGATAGGAGCATCCAAGATATAATGTGTAGGTTGCGTGGGCAGCTGAAAAGAAGAGGGCTTTTAAATGGGAGGGGGTAGATCAACTGGAGCCAAAGCATATATTTTTAAAAGTAGAAGTGCTGGAAAACACTTTAAAAGTGTGGACATTAAAAAATAATAATCTGAAAATATGTACCAAAAAAACCTGTCATTTTCTTGAGAGCTATAAGCTATCTTTTACCTTGATAGAGATGGAAGATTGAAGGAAACCGATCAGATCCTTGCTATCAATGGACAGGCACTTGATCAGACCATTACACATCAGCAGGCCATCAGCATCCTGCAGAAAGCCAAGGATAATGTGCAGCTAGTTGTCGCCAGAGGCTCGCTGCCTCAGCTCATCAGCCCGATAGTTTCCCGGTCCCCATCTGCAGCCAGTACCATTTCAGCTCACTCTAATCCAGTGAGTACATGTGATTTGCACAAGGAACAGATCATATTTTTCTAGTTCTTTTTGATTGTTTCCAATTCCTTGGGTTCTTTGTACCTCTTGAGTTTTTGCCTTTTTATCCTTTTATTTCCTCTCTCCCTAGCCCGGAATATTTGTTATTTAATTATGATTAAGTTTCTGGCTTCTAAAACAACTTTTACCTTCTTATGTTTCATTGTTTTCTTTGATAGCATTCCTCAAATGAAAAATATTAACAAAATTGACTATCTGTAGACAGATATATTCTTGATTATGCTTTGTAAATTGTATTATCACAGTTAGCTATAGGTGGGTGACTTTAAGAAAGCATCTAATTTGCTGTTACAGTTCCATTGACTATTCCCTGTGCTGTACTCCACATCCGATAGCCATATATATAAAATTGTAGTTGAGGTTCAATATTATTCAGCTTCAGGTGTACACCGCAATGGTCAGGCATCTACACCATCCGAATTGGTCTCTGTAATAAGACAAGTGTCCATCTGACACCCTACAAAATCTTTACAACATTATTGATTATTTTCCCCATACTGTCTTTCATATTCCCATGGCAATTTTGTAGCTACTAATTTGTGCTTTCTAGATGGGTAGTAGCTTGGGGAGGGAGTTTATCACTTTGTGCGGGGTATAAATGTTTATTACATTGTTTTGTACACCTGAAACTAATAAAAGAAAAAGAAAGTCATCTAATTTGGAATCCTGCAGGGCAGGATTATACAGAAGACATTCTTAATAAATAGGTAACAGTTTTTTCCTTATCCTATTCTTTTTTAAAAACAAAGTTCTACAAAGGATCTTGCAAATCACTGCCGATCTTTATCTGGCTAAATGTGGTCACTAATGATGTAGTGATCATTTCAAGAATGATTATATCAATAGCAGTAACAATCTGTTGAAAGGAAAGTGTACTAAATAAAAGGAACAGACATTCTTCAGGCTCATTATTACGTCTGAGCTCAATTATTTAACACCGCTCACAAAATAATACAAAGATCTCAACTGTAATGAAAATTTTAGTTTTTCCTAAATTTTTTCAGATTCATGTAGGAGCTTTATTTTCAGGTTCACTGGCAGCATGTGGAAACTATTGAATTGGTGAATGATGGATCTGGTCTGGGATTTGGCATTGTCGGGGGAAAAGCAACTGGCGTGATAGTAAAAACCATTCTGCCTGGAGGAGTGGCTGATCAGGTAAGCTACTCCCACAGGTCTTTCATGCTGTGTTGTCAAACAACATGGCTTCGTCTTTTACGTTACCTGACAGAAAGGAGAAACTTGGGCCTCAGATAATGTCAAAGAAGCTTCTGTTTTGCTGGGTTATTCCCAAAATGTTTTCTTAGACTTTGGGAGAAATACCTTCGAAAGGGGACACTGATCTTAAGTTATGGTAATAGACAATGATCTTAAGACTCTCTAACCACAAACTAAAGTCCAGATTATTGTTTTGATCATTGTAGATGCAGCAGTCCTTTATTTTATGACCGTAAATCATATTAATAAACCTAGTCAGCTGTTTTATATCCTACAAGATATTACTGAAAAAATAATATTTTATTATAGTGGGAAAAGACAAGATTCATCTTGTCCCTGTATTGATGGGTCACTGGTGTCATCTTTGTACATGAAGCATCGCCTGTTTTTATCACTTAGAGTAGTTCTTTATAGCATTTATGCTGTGTGACATTGTTGAAATATGTGTAAGAAAATCGTAAAGTTACTTGTTATGTATTATATTTTAATTTGACAAGTTCTGCTAGTGTATCTTTTGCCTTGATTATAACGTTTTGTTTATAAAGCTCTTTGCTTTTGCATGTGCATTTGAAGTTACTTAGGAGTCAAGTTCATCAAACATTTGTCATATTCATAAATGAAAGACAGATTTATTGGCAGTCTTATCAGTAGAGGTATTGACAAGTATCCGAATTTTCTTTCTTTTAAATATTAGCGTTTAGCAGTATGCAGTCAAATTCCCCTCATTGTCAGGCTTGTGATAAATAAGTTTTTTCTTCAGTATAGAGCTGCACTGTCCAATACTGTGGGAACTTGCCACATGTCCCTTTTTAAATTCAAATTTAAATTAATTAAAATTAAATAGAATTACAAATTCAGTTCCTCAGTTGGACTAGCCACACTTCAAGTGCTCTGTCGCCACATGTTGCTTGTGGCTGCCCTATTGGACAATGCAAATCATTTTCATTGTATCGTAAAATTCTGCTGGCCACTGTGTGTATGGAGGCTTGTAAGACTGCTTTTCACTCCCCTTGTCTATCTGAATTTTCATCTTGCAAGGATTCCATCTACAAATGAGCTCTTGAGGGATATTTATCATTGAAATGGTAAGGCAGAAAATTGTGGTATTAATTCAGTGCTTTCTTGTGGCTCATACCATATTTTGAATAATATGTATTTTTTTAGTAACATACTTCATCTTTGCTTAGTGGCATTTTCTCCTTTTTCTATCCCTCAAAAAATTCACAAAAAGGCTTAATATTTTCTTGCATTTTGTGGGTAGAAATCAAATTGAAAAGCTCACATCAACTATTAATTTAAGAAATATTTGTGAATTTTAGTAAATTCTATCAAATTGAATGATGTTAGGATGCTTCAAAAGACAGTTAAAATCACAACCACATGCTTAGTGTCCCATGATTGGTAATTCATATCATTGCTTTCGTTTTTTATTCCCTTTCCCTCATTTAGGATTTCTCTGATGAAGTTAATAATAATAAAATCTGATAAATCAATTTCTTTTTATTCAGCATGGGCGATTATGCAGTGGAGACCACATTCTAAAGATTGGTGACACAGATCTAGCTGGAATGAGCAGTGAGCAAGTTGCTCAAGTCCTCAGGCAATGTGGCAATAGAGTTAAATTGATGATTGCAAGAGGTGCCATAGAAGAAGCAACAGCATCCTCCTCTTTGGGCATCGCCCTTTCTTCATCCCCATCTTCTACGCCAGAGGCGCGGGTAAGTAGGTAAAAGCAGTTAAGTGGGGAAATCATAGACAAATAGCGCTTAAATGACAGGATGTTTATTTAGAAACCATATTAATGTTTATATATTAGTGCTAAAGATCAAAACAAAACTCAGATGTAGAGATGATTCCGCACTAATAACATGTTGTTAATTAGGAGTGATATATGGAAGATGAAAAATAGATTGCTTAAAGAATTCTGGATGACTATTTTACATTTTCCCCTAAGCAGTACATTTATGACGATAATGTTTTGAAGTATGGAAAAATTTTAAAGACTTACTTGCTCCCAGTACCTGACATGTTTCAGTCTTTCTCTTCTTTAGAAGGCCCTCTGTAAGGTGGGCTGTAATTTCTAATCATTTCCCTTTCAACAACTTTCTTTTTAGTGTTGCCCCGCCCCCACCCCTCCATGGAGGTGGTGAATAAAGCTTACCAAGTCCTTTCAATATTAGTGTTTTAAGGTATGTCATAGAACTGTTATCAGATTTGTAATGAGAAGTCAGTATTCTTGACCCAGTTACATAATTTTTTAAACAAAAGTTATGCTTTTGGAGTTGTAACAAAAGCTTTATTCATAGGCATAGCATTCCATCTTTTTTTTTTTTTTTTAAACTGGATGTGAAAAAAGCTTGAACTTTTAAAAAGCCTTATAATGTGGTGGTGTTCTCAAATGTTCAGGTCACAAGATGACTACAGTGGATAAAATATCAACAAAATAATGTTATCCAGAAATCTCTTAAATATTTAAGAAGAGAGTCACACTCAATTTCTAGATAAGCTTTATAGCAAATTAGTCCTACATTCCTTATTTATAGATCTAAAAACATCTATGTGATTTTTTTCTATTAAAGTTTGTTCTAACCAGTTGCTTCAAATTCTTTTTTTAATATCCAAACCTCCTCCACAAGCCCTTTGAAACTTTATTACAACACTTGAAATTTCCATGATTCTGTTGTTTTTAGGGTTGAGTTTGGTTGCTATTTTTTGCAGAGAGAAAGAAGTAAAGAAAGAAAGCTTGTTTATGAAAGTATTTAAATGGCATTCTTTTGTGGTAAACAAAACATTTTATTCAGCAATATATAAATGAATGCAATACCGAAAAACACTTGATGTAATTGAAAGCTTAGAAAAATATCTATTCTGTGCATATCGTCATTTCTGAGGCTTGTGCCCCTTTTAAAACCATTCGATAGTCAAATTGCCACCCTCTAAAATAGCACCCGCATAAGTCCTATTAAAAATAGAAAACACATTTGTTTCAATTGAAGCAGATTTCATTCTGTCATTTTCTTGTAATTATCTAAACTTTAAACTTTTGCTAAGTTTGCACAGATAATTATGTGCAGTGAAAAAAAATGAAACTTTACTATAAAATTATATCTCATTTAGGTAGTCTGTCAGTGAGTTAGTCAGAGTTTGCTTAAAGAAAATCAGAAAACATGACCTATTAGCCCCAACATGCATGTCCTTTTGACCCCATGACCTTTATTTTGTTGTAATCTTCATAGGGCTGCCTGTGGAATAAGCTGACATCACACTGGTACATAATGCCAGTAACTTATTGATGACTTATTGAACTAGTCTACTAATGCTTAATTCGGGAGCCTTTCCCTTCGGTCCAATATATATATGTGTGTATATATATATATATAATTACTAACAATTCTACGTGTTAGAGAAACCTGCTTTCAGGTATCATGGTGGGAATGAAGGAAATATAACAGAAAGGCCTACTTTCCTTATAAATAGCTTTTGAAATTGAAGTCTGAATTTACAAAACAAATACAGGGACTCTTATAAATAGCTCTTTGGTGCATTTCACTGATTTTTAAAGTAATCATCAGTCTAGTAATAATATATCTGAAGGATAGGTTTACTCATATTCATGGTGTTAGAATCAGCTATCAGCTTAAGATAGGAAGAGTGGCAGCATGTCCTGAGTGGATACGATGGACCTTACATTCTATTAGGGATTTCCCTCCCATACTGTATAGCATTTGAGAGCAGGGGATCTGCAACCAGTCTGTCTGCATTTGAATTCTGCCTCTACTAGATTGCTGGCTGTTTTGTCCTTGGAAAAGTTTATGTTCCTCATTTCTCCAGCGAAAAACTGACAGTAATTATACCTCCTCATAGGCTTGTTCTAAGGAGTAAATAAATTAAGACGTGCTAAGTGCCTGTTACATAGAAACTGCTCGGTAAATGTTCGCTGGACTTGTTGTTAGTCATTGCTGATAAACAGTTAAAGCGATGCTTAGAAAAATTCAGTGGCAAAGCTAGATTTGAACCTATTGATCTGAATTCAAAACATGAGTTCTTTCAACTGTATTATCTCCTAGCTCCTTCGAGAATGAAGATGAGCCATCTCTGAAAATAGAATTTGTCAATAAGAAACTATTTGTTTTTTTTCAATTTTGTATGTAAACAATAATGCATTTCTCTAAGGGGGTGTTCAGCTTTACTGCTGACATTCCTTTTGAGTAAACATGTGACGCTTAGCCCATGTTCTGAAGGCTGAAGGAGTAAGCTCTACTGCAGTCCTCTAGGGAGTTCTCTGACACCTAATAACATCACATTATTACTAAGTGTTGTGGCTTTTTGAGCTTATCTTATTGTTTACATATTTATTTCTCTGCATATTTATGTATTGATTTTATTTTAGGTTGATGCTTCTACTCAGAAAAATGAAGACAGTGAGACGTTTGATGTAGAACTCACTAAAAATGTCCAAGGATTAGGAATTACCATCGCTGGTTACATTGGAGATAAAAAATTAGGTAGTTTTAAACATTAATATTTTTGAACTTGGCAATTACCTCTCATCTTTGTTTTATGAAATATTGAGTCAACATTATGTATTTTTAGATTGTTGGATAAACTGATGGAAAGCATTTTTAGGAATAATTGAATGTAGGCAACTCTGATATTGTATTTATCAGACAAAACTATTGTTTTAGGCTCAAGCCTAAGGTTCTAGTAAATGATGTTGTCTGTATGGCTTGTTGATTTATATTTATTCAAAATTTGAACTTTATATTTGGAGAATGGAGGGTGGATATTGTTTGAATGTGTTTTGTAAATGGTAATAAAAAAAACCTATTTCTAATGTTAGAACCTTCAGGAATCTTTGTAAAGAGCATTACAAAGAGCAGTGCTGTTGAACATGATGGACGAATCCAAATTGGAGACCAAATTATTGCAGTAAGTAACACATTTAATAACAGCTTTGTTAATTTTTATGGTTAAATTCATTCTCCTAATTTACTCAGTTTTGAGAACTACAGTTAGCTCCACAGTAATTCACACTTGCTTTGGTGATTTGAGGCTGTCATTACAATTACCAATTTTATTTTTTGTGGAAATAAGAGCATTTGATAGAAACTTTACTGATCTCAAGTCTAAAGGTGGGACAAAGTTCTTTCTTGAGTAAGTTCTGATAGATCTGATTTGTGGTTGTAATGAATTTATTACATTAATATCATACTTACACTTTGGTTGCAGACACTTGAAAGTTAAAGACCAGATGTTATACCCTTTTGTTTGCTTGAATCTGAATTTGGGATGTGTGTGTTTTCTTTTTTACAGTAGCAGATTGACACTTTTATGGGGTTCCATGACGAGGGCTCCTTTGAGCCCTAAGAATATACAGAATAAAGAAATAGTATTCTGCCTCGTCTAATTAGATCAAACCCATCATTGTTATTGTAGTAATGTCATTGTGTGCTGAGCACTTGGCTATTCAAGGCCATGTACAAAAGAATCCAAATTTCAGTTCAGTGTTCAGTGGAAATGGGACTACCTAGCTCCTCCTCAGAACACAAATCTAAAAGATCCTGCACCTGGGACTTCTTGGTCAACTAAGTTTAGGAAAAAATTGGAGGTGATATGGTGTCTTAGGGACTTATAATGCACATTGAAAAATCAAAGACTGAGAAGTTCTGCAATAGAGAAACTTGTGTAACATTTTTACTTAGTGTCTCCTAAACTTTTTAAATCATAAGTTCTTTCTATCCTCAAACATACATTAATATCGTTTGGAAGATATTTTGGAGAATGCCCATTTATCTTAATACGTACATGTTTGTTTATTCTTAGTTAAGTTTCTTTTGTTCCTTTGTGGTCTTAATAATGGTAAAAAAGCAGAATGTCAAGGTAGAAGGGTCCTTGTTCATAGCAACATTATTCACAATAGTTAAGATGAGGAAATGCCCAAATGTCCACTGATGGATGAGTGGATAAACAAAATGTGGTATATACATACGATGGAAAATTATTTTGTCTGATAAAGAAGGAAATTCTGTCATATCCTACAACATGGATGAACCTTGGAGACATTATGCTAAGTAAAATAACCAGTCACAAAAGGACAAGTGCTGTATGATTCCTCTTATATGAAGTACCTGGAACTTCAAACTCATAGAAACAAAGTAGAATGGTTGTTGTGAAGGGCTGGATGGAAGGGGAAATGGAGACCTGTTGTTTAAATGGGTATAGAGTTTCTGTCTTGCAAAATGAAATGTCTAAAGATCTACTGTACAATAGTCTGATATACTTAACACTTCTGAACTGTACACTCAAAAATGGTTAAGATGGTAAATTTTATGTTAGGTGTTTTCTACCACAATTTTTTTTAAAAAGGTAGAGGTGTTTTTTCTCTCTGCTGTTTGCTTCTACATTGCAGTTCCTTGAGTCTTCTTGGACTTAGTTCTATAAAATTCCTAATTACACCTGTTCATCTCTTGAAATCTATAAAGATCAGGTTGTGCTTGCCACCTACACTGGCTATCTCCTGGAAATGAGCTGTCCCCACTATCTCCCTTTTAATATATAATGAAAATTAACCACTTTACATTTTTTATTTTGGAAGAAATGGAGGGAAAAGGAGTAAACAGATACAGCCTCTAAATCATATCTGATACTGAATTAGAAATGGAAAAGATAACTAATGTACTTTTTTCCCTATGCTGTATATTTTAATCTATTAGAAAGCTTTTTTAAAAAATTAGCTTTATTGAGATGTAATTCACATAATATTCAATTTACCTATTTAAAGTGTATAATTCAGTAGTTTTTGTATATTCACAGTTTTGCATCCATCATCACAATCAATTTTAGAACATTTTCATTCCCCCGGAAAGAAACCCCATACCTATTAGCAGTTATTCTCTAATTCCCCTATGTTCCCATCCATACACAATCCCTGATCTACTTTCTGTCTATAGATTTGCCTTTTCTGGACGTTTTATGTAAATGGAATCATACATTATGTGGACATTTGTGATTGGCTTCTTTTGCTTTGCCTAGTGTTTTCAAGGATCATCCATTTTATAGCATGTATCAATTCTTCATTTCTCGTTATAGCACGGATAGACCACATTCTATTTATCCATTCATCAGTTGATGGACATTTGGGTTTCCACTTTTTGGCAGATAATGCTTATATAAATGTTCATATACAAGTTTTTACATAGACATATGTTTTTGTTTCTCGGGTATATACTTAGGAGTGGAATTGCTGAATCATATGATAACTTTATGTTTAACCGTTGAGAAAGCTTCTTTCACCTACAAAATTGGGATAGGAAACTTCCCTTATGTGATTTTTAGGAAAATCCAAAGAGTAATTTATTTTGAATACCTGGTATAGTATTAGGCACGTAAGTGCAGTTTAGTTAATTAAGCAGATATTTGTTAAGGCCCTGAAATGATGACACATTTGTAAGAGTCTCAAAATAACTTCCCTCCAAACTTGTCATTATTTTTACTGTGGTATAAATGGAACCTCTAATATAATTTTGCTTAGGCAAGATCAGAGATAAAGGAAAATTTTGAGTGAAAAGTGAAGCAACCTTCTTCTGAAATGTTTTTTTGCTCTCAATAAAATCACGTGTTTCACTCTCATCAGTGTTGTGATTTTTAATTTTAGCAACATTCCCTTCAAAGTTAGAAGCAGACTCTTAATGAACATCATGCAATGATTTAGATAATGCATTAATTTTGTGCAAAATATCACCATCTTGTGGGCTTTTGAAATATTGATAGTAAAGTTGTTCACACCAGTTGCATATTCATAACAGCAATATTTGCCTGGGGTTTTGTTTGTTTGTTTATTTTTAATTTTTTGTTTTTGCAGCAGCTATTTGGAGCTATGCTCTATTTTCATTTTGTAATTGTTGAGGTGGTGAGAAGATTAAGAAATTCTATTTTGTGAAGTATTATTGTATAACATTAAAACAATTTTGCTATAGGATTTCTGTTTTACAAGTTGTGCTCTGTGGACCCCTAGAGTTTCACTACAGACCTTACAGGGAAAGGAATAGAGCGAGTGACTTCATTATTTTTTTTTCACTTTATATTTTGGTGTTATATGTAGGAATTATTTGATAAAAGGATTCCATTTTTTAAAAACAAGTTCGCCAAACTTGTCATTAGACAAAATCATATGCCATTCTTTTTAAATTGATATACAGACATCCTTGCTAAAAGCAGCATGGGATCATTAATTAAAGAATTATTAAACAAGCATGTAAATATGGAAAGGTGTCAAATATTACCTTTACTATTCTGTGACTTTTTACACATTATAGGTATTGACTGTATTGGAGGAGGGCTTGGCTAACTAGATTGAGTGTGTTAAGAAGCTGGGATTTTTGAGTTGTTCCAACTAGTATTCCTCCCTATAACTGTTCCTGTTAATTGTTATATCTGCACTGTGCACTATGAGGATGTTAGATCTTTCCTTGAGATAGCATGTAGGAAATTTGCTGCCGTCTCACCAAGTTCCACTACACTCTTATCTATGGTACCATTGGGTCTGAAGCCATGTCTTAATTCTCTTCCCGTGACATTGAGGTACCAGAGCTGGTCTGGGCTCTGATTTAGGCTTTGGTAATCTCGTCTTACATGTATGATGGGAGTAATTATATTGAACAGAAACTGCTCCCATGAAGGCTTCAGGTTTTCATGTTTATTAATCACTTGTTCACTCTACCAGTAATAATAGCAGCCACTGAGTATCTTCCCATTACAAAGTGTCTTGCACTATAATTTTCAGAAAGTAGGTAACATTATTCCTGTATTATTGATGAAGATATTGAGTAATCTGAACTCATTTATGAGTTTAAAAGTCCATGATTATTCCATTACAGAAGTTTCTTCTGTGCTAGTACAATCTCTGACATTTGGGTAAGGAATATATTTTTAAATTTAGATCATCAAATTTTGAAAATAAAGGAAAAACATATATTTTTTTACATATTTGAACTTTATTGCTATTAAGGAGATAGAATTATATCCATTTTATTTTTTCTTAATGAAACAATAATTGAGCAATAAAATCTTTTGCAGATGAAAACTTTCAGCCCAAGTTCTATGCATTTTAGGAATTTTTATGGAATCTCAAAGTTCAGATTTTTGCAAATTGTTTTTACTACCCCGAGAGTAAATAATGTGTTCATTTATTTTAGATTAATTTTTATCTTTGAGGTTTAAATAATATAAAATTTGAAAATGGTTTTAAAAAAACCTTTTCATAGAAACCTCTGCTAATGGTTTATGATTTAAACTTTCAGAAAATATCCACATACCTATGTTTAAATAGGGCCATATTTGGTTATACATTTTTTTATACTACCTGTGAGGTGTAGTCATATCACCACATATAGACCTATTGTAATATACCTAAACAACCCTTATAAATGGGCAGTTTTGTTGCTTACAGTTGTTCACTGTTGTTATTATTCCAGTTTTTCAAACCTTTTTCAATGTGATTTTATGAGTTTTAAAAAATAAGGTGTTATACTCAGTATTTATTCTAAAAGGCAATTTTCTGTAGACATAAATCTTTGGTATGTGAGCCATGGGCTCTATATTCCCATAGGAGGTGAATATCTACTGTACAGACAGTGTTTTGGTGACACATGGAGCCTGTCCGCTGGAAGGATGCAGTCATCAAGCACATAATAACAGATAATGTAAAATTAAATTTCTGACGAGTGCTGTGAAGGAGAAGTGGGATAGGAGGGCTTTGGCTGTAGTCTGGCCCATCAAGATAGCTTAACTGCTGAAGTAACTATTGAACTGAGATCTAAAGCAATTGTAAGTGTTTTCTGAATGAACAGATGAGAAAAACGATGTGCTGGATAGGCTGTCTAGAGAATCTAGACTGAGGGAATAAAACTGGCAGAGACCAGATGGCTGAAGGGAGCACCGCAGGGCCGAGGAATTGAAATGGGCCCACTGGTACTGGAGGGCAGAGTAGTAGGTGACAGCATGCAGGATGAGGGGGGTGAGGTTTCACGCAGGTCATTCTAAGCCATGTGAAGAATTTGGAGCATTGTCCTAAGGAGTGTTCTATGGAAGGCAGGTTTGAAGTGATATGATCCTATCTGTACTTTGGAAAGACCTTAGGGGCATCTTCAAATGTTTTGTCGTTTGTGAACTGAAGGAAAATCACATGTATTTTTTTGAAGAAGCAAAGAAATAAGAAGGAAGGCAGTTTTGTCATCTTTCTTTTTTACAAAGCTAATATAAACATGATTTTGGAATGTGTCAGCACTCTCAATGGCCACTTCCGTCACTGTCTTCTCTACCTTTATATCCTGCATAGTACTGGTTTCCAAGCTTGACTGTTCATCAGGTTCACCTGAGGCATATAAAAGAATATTTTAAAAGTTAGAGAAGCATGGACCACACCCTAGAACTGTTGGCTCATACTTTCTAGAAATGAGACCCCATAATCCTAAGTAAAACAAGTAAAACCCTCCTGAGTGATCCTAGTGCACCTAAGCTAGTACTGGTCCCCAAATAGGTGTGAGCCCATTCCCCAATTAGGGGGATGCTTATCCCCCATTCTTTTCATACTGAGAAGTGGTAAACACACATTTGGTGAATGGGTAATACAAACATCCGTTGATTTTTTAATATGCCTTGTTCTTATCAGGTAGATGGCACAAACCTTCAGGGTTTTACCAATCAACAAGCAGTAGAGGTGTTACGCCACACCGGGCAGACTGTACACCTGACACTCATGCGGAGAGGAACAAGGCCGGAAGCTGAGCTCTCGTCAAGGGAGGCTGTCACAAAAGAGGCACTTTTGTCTCCTGCTAGCGCGCCCATAAGCAAAGGTAATGCCAAGTGATCTGGCTTTCAGTTATACCCTTCCATCATTTCAGTAGTTTTCGAATTCTGAAGTTATTGAAAGAATTTTTTTAGTCTTTACTACCTATTATGTACCAAATAAAAAGGAAATTTAATGAAGTTGGGATTAACTGGAACAGGTGATGTGTCCATTAACTATAGAACGGGCTTCTGAATAAAGCAGATTTCTTCCTATTCTATTTATTCAGTCACCATTGCTGAGTTGGAAACGTGTAGTCATTTACCTTCCTGTCCTTGCCTTACTTTTGAATGTCATCATTATGTTTTCTCTTTGGGGCATATCTGTTCTGCCCGGATTATGCATGTGAGCCCCATGATGTTTCTAACGCCCCAGCCTTCCCTTGAAGGAATCAACATTAATTCCACATTTAGAAATGCCATTCATAACCTGCTTGTACATGAGTACCTCTGAAAATTACTGAAATCCCCATGTAGCTCACCGGTGTAAGGGTTTATTGGTAGAAGTCAGGCTGTTGGTTTGAAAATGCTTTTGCATTTTTCAAACTGTTAACCATTCTGGTGTCTATGCCATAAACTACTTATTACAGCACTACGAGACAGGGAGGCAAATCACAGAAGAAACGTATTACTTCTTTATCCCATTATTAGGAGAACTTTCCTTTAAGAATTAGGAGAACTTTTCTTTAAGAATATATGGTTTTTGAAGAGTTTATCTACATAAACGAACTCTCATTTAGGGGTCCAGATAAATAATGATAACATAAATAAATAATAAATAAGGGATTGAAAAATGCAAATACTTGATTATATTATAGATATTACTACTGAAATATTCTTTTCTTTAAGAAAATTATGAAAAAGATGAAGATTCTTTATCTTTGAGGAGAAACACCAGCATATCACCAATTGAAGAAGAAGGTAAATGCCTGGAGCCAGGTTATTTTGTTCTTTACAAACTCTTTTAGAGAAATGATTTTTATAAATGTGATTAAGCCTCTGTGGACATATTATAAATTACAAAAAAAAAACTTTAAAAAAAGAGATGTTTGTAAATTCTTATGTGTGGATATGATTAATTGCTCTAGTAGATTAAAATAGTTCATTTATAGCAGGCATATTTTCTTCCTGGGTCAGTCTTTACTTCTACATTGTTTTAACCAGAATCCTTTAGGAGTCAATCATTTATGTAAATTCAGCCCTCTTATTTCTGTACAGCCAACATACGAGGTATAATTAAACAATATGGTGAAAGTTTAAATAAAAACAAATTATTACAATAAAAGACATCGCCATTTATCTCCCTCTCTTCAAACACACGTATCCTGTCGTTCTTGCCACTTTCTGAAGCAGTTCTGGAAGTCCTTTCTTGAGTGTGTTTAGTTGTGCTGCCGCGGCTGCCTCGATGTCCTGAGTCATTTTGATTTGGAGAGGAGCCAGAAGCCGCACGATGCCAGATCCGGTGAATAAGGTGGATGAGGACACACCATAATATTTTTATTTGACTGGAATTACCATGTACCAGAAGTGATGTGTGACATGGAGCGTTGTCGTGATGGAGGATAATTTATGGCACACTTTAAGTAAGACACACCTTCTCTCAACCGTAGCTCACACTCGACTGACTGCACCGAGCAAGCTGAAACTTGTCACACACTGTTACTAAGGTTCAGCGTGCCACTTTCCCTATTGAAGATCCCTGCCTTTCTGTTGGATGACACTCGGCAGCAGCATTCACTGTATTTCTTGATCACAACAGAAAGGCTTCCTGTCACACATCGCCTCTGGTAGCACAACTAAAGACACTCATGAAAGAGGACTTACAGAACTACTTCAGGAAGTGGCAAGAACAATGGGATGTGTTCAAAATGAGGAGAGTATTTTGAGGGGGATTAATGGCAATGTATCTTTTACTGTAATACATTTTTTTTATTTAAACATTCACCGTATTTTTTTAGCTCACCTCATATGTCTATCTTTGAGCAAGCAAAAATAAAATTATAAAGTATATTTTAAATAAACCCAAGAGAATCTTTAAAGCATAAGCTCTGAGGAATGAAACTATCCAATTTTAGGAGACTTTTTCTTCTCAATATTTAAAAGTTATAAACGTTTATATTGGGAAGTTGGTTTGGAAAGGAATTGTAGAGAAAATAAAACCTTTCTGAGATTTCTTTCACTATAAACCTAGAATCCATCAAGCTGTTTACTTTTTAGAGCACCATTGCTTTAATATATAATTGTGCCAGAATGTTCCTATGATTTTCATAGGCTGGGTCTGTGTGCTTCCCTTACCTGTCAGATTGCTTTAGGTACTTCGGTGACTTAAATCTGCTGAACAAAGTCTAAGATCATATACATGATCTTTCTTCATGTGAATTCTGCCCTTCACTAAAAAATTTTATTGAAACTTCGTAGTTCTTTAAAACATTTACTCCATTATTAATTCTTTTCTGCTGAAAGTTTTTATATACTTTCACTATTTTAAAAGAATGTTTGTGTTTGCAAAGGTATCTCGGCAGTAAGATGTGTAGGACTCACAGGTGTTAACCACATTCTGCCATTTTTATACTAATAGGTGAATTTATTTAGGCTAAAGTGAATAACAAGAATTGGGAGGGGGACAAAGCTGTTTTAAAGCATGAAATGAGATAGTAAGTGAGGATGGATGTGGGAGATCATCTTGAAGGGTCAGACCATCTACTTTGCTTTGATGAATGTGTATACAAGTGTTGGGAGGACAGGTAGGAGAGGCTCTAGACTTAGAATCAAGAGTCGCAAATTCTTTTTTAAACAAAATATACTAACTAAAAACTTCAGAGTGATTCTAATGCATCTACGCTAATGCTTAGTCCTCACGCAAGAGGGCAAGCTATCATTGCCTCTTCCACAGAAATTTGACTCATTGTGTGAGCCCAGACAAGTCATTTGACTTCTCAGTAAGATCAGAAGACTGGAATTTATGATTTTTAAAATGTGCCTGAAATCTGGTCTTGGGACCGTTGGGAGAGGGATAGAATGGAGGGTTGTACAACTAACTGTAGGTTGGTTCTATGAATACGAATCTCAGATCTTTCATTAACTGTGTACAGACTCGCCACTTTCTGCATTTAGAATCCCATCCTGCTTGAATCACTGACTGTCTTTGTAAGGTCAACAGCAGTGGAGAAAGGGGGTGTGGGAGGAGGTAGTACTCTGAGCTGACCCTCCTCTTTCTAGCCCTTATCAGATTGAAAAGGGTCCATGTAATCTGTATTCATCCCTGCATAGGCATCTCTCTCTGGACTGACTTTAATTTTGAAGAGAAAACACTCATTTTGAGGGGCTATCTCCACATTTAAAAAATATTTATATAGTTCATTGTTTCCAGTTTCTCAAGGAGAAAGAAAATCTTGGTATTAATTTAAAGCATAACAAATCTGTAAAATAGGCCTGGAGTAAAATCACATTAATTCCATTAATGAGGAGGCAGCTAATAAGAAACCTGAATTTTGGAACACTCTTTAAATTTAAAATTTGAATGCTAAAGGGATAGTAAACAGTCGATTTAGAGTAATGCCTTGTAGAAATTTTTTAAAAGACAAACTTCATGAGTAAGACCTATGATGAAATATGGAAATCTTTGAATATGACTTCAAAATTCTTTTCAACCACTTTCTTACTTTAGCTAAGTGTTTTAATTCAATATTGTTTACATAATTTGTTTAGTGACTTTTCATTTTTTTATTTCCCTTTGACAATTAGTGCAATTCCAATTATGGGATTTTATTTTAATGTTCAGTCTCAGTTTTTCATTGTTTCTTATTTTTATTTATATTTTCTCATTGTACATGGAGTTGCATATATTATCTTTTATTTTGCTTGCTTGTTTGTTTTTGCTAAGGTGTACCATGGTCTTCTTTACTCTGTAGAACCAAATAAAAATGAAAGAAAGAAATAGACATAGAAGGCAGCATGGCTTTTTGCTATAGAGTTACCAAAGGACCACCAAATGAAACCTGGAGCAACTTGGAGCCCTCATTCTTTTAAATAAAAGTTAGATAATATACGGATACTTTAATGGAAATATACAATAGTTAAGACTTAAAAGAAATCTCTTGAAAATGAATAGTATTAGAACATGTAGATGATAAGGTTCTAAGTTATTAATATATGTAGAAAATAAGAATAACTCATATATTAGTTGAAGAGTCAGACTTGCAATGACAGACAGGTTCTGATCACAGTGTCCCTGGGACAGAATGTTAAGATACAGATAGTTTTTGTAGTTTGTCACTAACTTAATTGTGTTTACTCTTGCAGGGTATCCATTACTGTCAGCTGAGACAGAAGAAGTAGAAGATACACAACAACAGGAAGCTGCCTTGCTGACAAAGTGGCAGAGGATTATGGGAATTAATTATGAAATAGCGGTAGGTTAGCTTCTTCTTTCTAACTTCTTAACTTGTAACTGTATTTGAGCATGAAATTCATGACTGTAATAAAGGTGATGATCATAAAGAGTCCTAGAGAAGTAGCAGATGCCCAGGAATTTTTTCAGATACCTAAATGTGCTGATTCAGGTATTAAAAAATGTAAGTTGTATTAAGTAGTAACCATGGAACTGAAATAAATGAGATGGAAGTTTTAGAATTCATAATTCATCAATGTTTTAATATTTCTTGCTGTAGTATATTGATGTTACATAGACACAAGGGCTTTTTTTTTTTTCTCAATTCTTAAACATGGGAATTACAGAAAGAGTCAGAAAAGAATGACAGAATTTACTTAAAGATAAAATAAAAATCATGGGCTGGCTGAGTGGCTCAGTTGATTAAGAGCTCGCTCAAGAGTGTGAGCTCTGAGCAGCAGCGGTTCGATTCCTGGCCCGAGCTGAGCTGCCATGGCTTAGCTGGAAAAAAAAAAAAAAGTCTATGTACAAAATTGTAAAAAGACTTTTCTGCTGTCTCTTTATCATTCTCATATATTTACTTTTCCTTAAGGGGTTTAATTCTACATGCTTTTTTGGTATCGCTTATGCCATAGTGAATGTTTTATGTTTATTATCAGTTTGCATACCTAGTATAGCAATCGTGATCTGCTATCCTAAAAAGAGATTTAACAAAGGTGACACCCATTATCAATCTTTAGATGTATACTGTCAAATATCAGGGATTTCAAAAGGAAAAATGTATACTAAGCTAGGTAGACTTTCTCATATAATATTTAAGTAACTCTAGATTAGAAGAGATAAAAGACAACAGATGTCATACAATATTAATGAGCTTTATTGAACACTTTGTGCCTAGCAATATTCTTAGTGTTTCATTCAATCCTCATGGCAGTGATCTTTTAAAAAAAAAACAAAAAAAAAAACCACTCAAGATGGTTAACAGTTAAAAAAAGTAAGGACACCTGTTATTACCATTTAAAATGGAGTCGAGGAAAAATACAGTAAGGACCAGCTTAACCATGGTTAATTTAACATGAAAAGAAAGCTGAGGTGTTCCTTCCATGTGGTAGCCTGGCCTAGCTGAGACTGCCCTTCCTCAGGTGGTGATTGAATAGTTAAGGGAAACTGACTAGCCACTTTGTTGCAGAGGTCAGACCTGAGACTGGGAACTTTTACCTGTCCTTTGTCCACTTTGTCTCTTGGTGGCACTCCTGGTAATCTGTCAAGGGTGGAAGTGTGCTGTAAATAAGAACTGAGTATTTATTGACCCTCTTTAAAGTAAATAAGACATAGATCTGACTTTAAATTGTTTATACGGTTAATACAGCATAAATGTGATCATAGGAGGAGTGGTATAGTAAAGAAAAGGATTAAGGGGTATTATCACTGGGGACCTAGAGGGCTACTCCGAGGAAGTGATATCTAAAATGGGTTTTAAGGAGTGCAACGGATTTCACCCAGCATGAGATTACAAAGTTAGATAGATGATGTAGCGTCTGGTAACAACCCTGTACATATTAAGATTCGAAAGAGAACTTTTTAAATAAAACAGTATTTTTCTTAATCCCTCTACACCACAGTCTCCTTAACTGTAAAATAAAGAGGATGAGTTAGATCATCTTTCATATACCTTCTGATTTTAATATTACAATTATTGGATTCTTTGTGAAAATGGGTGATTTCCTAACATTCTTCATTATTTAGTGTAACAGTAAGAAATAGGAAGTTCATTCTCCTGTTTAAGCTTTGATTCCCTTTTAAAGACAATGTTGTCCCTTAGTACAGCATAAGGTCAGGTGCATGGGCTCCAGGTTCAGGCTGCTTAGGTTCCAAGCTCTTTTCTAGCTGTGTGACTTTGGTTACAGTCACCTCCCTGAACCTCAGTTTCCTAATTTGGGAAAGGAGGATAGAAATTATACCTATTTACGAGAAGCAAATGAGATAATTGGTATAATGGGGTTAGCACAGTCCTTGGCACATAGTAAGTGCTAAGTGTTCATCTTTTCTGTTCTGTTGTTTGAGCTCAGGCATTTGATTTTATTGGCAGTAGTTTTGACTACTTTCCATCTGTAATTAACATCCATAGGCATGAAAGTGTCTTGAGTGCTTGTAATTGGTGGCTTCCTTTTGGTTTGTATTGGTTCATGAAACCAATCCATATCGGTACTCTTTTAGGTTTTTGAAGCTTTTTAGAGAAATTTTACCTTTCTGAGTGAACATAAACTATATAGATGAGATGAAAGAAACAAATGAAAGAATATTAGAGTTGTGATGATTTTTCTCTTTTCAGGTGGCGCACGTAAGCAAGTTCAGTGAGAACAGTGGGTTGGGGATAAGTCTGGAAGCGACAGTGGGACATCATTTTATCCGATCTATTCTGCCTGAAGGTCCTGTAGGACACAGTGGGAAGCTGTTCAGTGGAGATGAGCTATTGGAAGTAAGGAGCTATGCCATTCTACCTAACCTTAAATAAAATGCTTAAAAGGCTGCAGGAGGCTTAATATGGTGAATAAGTAAGTTCTCATTTTAAATGTCCCCTCTAGAGGATCTTTCAGACAGATCTACAAATAAAAATCTACCCAAAGCCGAAGTTTCAATCCTGTATGTGCATTGTACATTGATTTTCAGACCTAATTCCATCCTTTTATTTTTTTAAGGTCCAGAGTACTATAAAAACTTCTTTAAGACTTTTTAAACATTTATTCAAGGTTTAGAATAGGTAATACAGTTATATATTTCAAAATCACAATGAATACAAAACTCTGTGGTAAAAAAGCCTTTTTCCTGTTCCAATCCCCCCAGTTTCCATCACCCTTTATTAGATAACTACTGTTACATTTGTTTCCATGCAATCTTCTAGATATTTGTAATGCATAAGTAAGAAAGTTTGAATATATTATTTTGCCCAACTTTTAGAAACATGCTAGCATATAATATGTGCAATTTTCCATGTTGATTTTTTTCACTTAATGTTAAATATGTCAATTTTTTAAATCTTTGTTTTTCATCCTTTGGGAATGTTTTTATTAACTCTCCTTTTCTGAACTACTACACTGGCAGATCAAAAATGGATGACAGCTAATGATTTTCCTGTAAATGCTTTAGAAAATCCAAAAGTCTCTATCAATACTCTAAACATACATGTAAATTGTGTTACATAGTACAAGTCCAACTATAGTTCTGAGCATAGCAGAACTATGGTTATAATAGTTATATTTATTTAATGAAAAATTGTTTTCAAAAGAATATTTATGGTATGAAATGTTCGTTCTTGGACAATATATCTTTTTCCACAGGTGAATGGCATAACTTTGCTTGGGGAAAATCACCAAGATGTGGTGAATATTTTAAAAGAGCTGCCCATAGAAGTGACCATGGTATGCTGTCGTCGGACTGTACCACCCACCACCCAGTCAGAATTGGAAAGCCTAGACTTACGTGACATTGAACTAACTGGAAAGGTATTGAATATGTGGATATATTTGGACTCATATTATAATCTTCAGACTAACTATAATACTAATATATTCAGACTAATCTGATTATATAATAGAAAGGCTAAATGATGGTTGAATTTCTAAAGCTTTTTTTCTTTCTTTGGTGTTTGATTTCCTCACATAGCCCATAGCTTATATTGGGTTGTCAGAAAAGTCATGATGTATTTTGTGTATGTTTTTCAAAGGTCATTTATTTATATAAAGAACAAAGATCAATCAATGATATATTGCCTGTTTTGTTCGATAACCTTTTGCCATCTTTCAGTGAGTTTCATAATTCCTCGTTCATAGAAGGACCTGTCTCTATTTGCGAATAACTGAACAAAGTGCTGATTTACAGCCTCATCTGAATTGAATGTTATACCACACAAGGAGTTTTGAAGAGAACAAGACTAGTGGAAGTCTGATGGTGCAAGGTCAGGCGAGTATGGTGGATGTGGGAGCACATCCCATCCAAGCTCCAATCATTTTTGACAGGTGACCAAACTTGTGTGTGGTCTTGCATTGTCGAAATGGAACACAGCTCCTTTACAATTAACAAGCTCTGGACATTTCTGGATGATGGATTCTTCCAAACTGTCCAATTGCCGGCCATACACATTCGAATTGATTGTTTGGTTCCTTGGTAGGCACTTGAAAAACACAGCACCTTTAGAATCCCACCACACTGAGAGCATAACCTTCCTCTGATGAATGTCTGCTTTCGATGTCGTTTGAGGCAAATCATCACGTCAGGACCAAGACCATTTGCGCACCACATTGTTGTAAACAGTCCACTTCTCATCACCAGTTATCAGTCACTTCAAAAGAGGATCGTTTTCCTTACGTTTAGTGAGCATATCGCAAATGTTTATACGCGCTGTCAAATGAACTTCTTTTGAGTTCATGCAGAACAAAATATCGTGCTTGCTTACATAGTTCAGCTTCTTCCGGTGGTCGTGAACACCTGAATGATGAATGTTCAATGTTTCTGCAATCTCATGTGCTATGTAACATGTGTTTTACTCACTCAGTGCCTTTATTTTGTTGTCATCACCTCGATGGGCCTCCCTGACTGAGGAGGGCCATTGAGATCAAAATCACCAGCACAAATTTCGTGAACCATCATTGACACTGACGTTCTTGTAGTGCAGTGTCACCATAAACTTTCTGCAACTTTTCACAAGCTTGATATGTGTTCTTCCCTTTATGGAAGTAAAACAGTAAAATATGGCAACAGTGCACAATTTGGTCTTCCATCTTCAACTTGTAAAATCTCCAGAACTCAACCAAATGGCTCAATTTTTTTTTTTAGAATGAAGCTAGAACTGTCAGCTGTCAAATGACATAGCAATAACATAGATGCGAATGACCTTAGTACTTCAAAAATGAATTAGTTCCACCTGTTGCAAACATGCGTCATGACTTTTCCGACAACCCAGTAGGATAGACCTTAGAGTCAGACAGCCCAGGGTTTGAATCAGGCTTGGCAGTTACTGGCTCTGCGACTTCATCTTTCTGAATCTGATTTCTCCTCTGTAAAATGTAAGTCATGTTGCTTATCTTAGAGAGTTGCTCTGTTGGTTAAATAAGGTAATGTAATGATATTAGATATTATTGCACACTACCTGCTTATATAATTTATTCATATTTCTATGAAGTCAACACTCATATTGTTTCATTTACAGAAGAGAGAATTGAAGTATGTAAATAGTGAGTTTATGGTACATATTATATATGATAAAAGATACTTTTATATAACCTACTGAGCTCAGTGCCTGGCACACAGTGAATGACTAAAATAAGGATGGTCACATCATTCCTGTGTGTATAGATCTTATTTGCACACTGTTTAGACTTTTAAAATATGAGAAATTTGAACTCATACTACGTGTCAGAGCATACTCAGTGACATCCCGAAACTCCCATTTTCCTGTTTGCTTATTTCTTTCCATTCAGATCAAAATGCCAAGAAATGGAGCTAGTTGGCTTTTCTGAGGACTCAAAATAGGTTATCCGAAGTTAAGATTTGGGCCTGCATAATTTGCAATATAGTCAAATCTCATTTAAGATATAATGAAAGAGATGATATTAGGATTTGATTTACGTTATACTGAGTCAGTAAAATGGAATAATTTTGAAAAATTTGAACAATAAAGTGTTTTGTTTAATATTCATATGGGTGATTAGAATAAGGTCGGATAAGAAACATAATTCCAAATTGTGTAGTACCATATATAACCATAAATATTTTTATGTGGTATAATGGGATTATTATTATTATGAAGCAGATAAACAGATTTGCATCCATGGTTCCTAGGTTGTGCAATAATTGATTAAAAGCAAATATAGAATGCAAACTAGAATTTCATCATGAACAATACATCTTTTCTAAATTTCATATGTTCATACAGATTAACAAAGCTGAATTAATCTAGATTCACTTTATTTTTACTAAAGAAGCTAACATTTTGAACCTCTGTTTCTGTGCCAGATGCTTTATAAATAGTATCTCCTTTAATTCTCAAAAGACCATGAGATGGGTAACTATGAAACCCAGGTTAAGAATATTGCTCTAAGCGGTTCGAGTCCCAGCCCGAGCCGAGCAGCTGCTGAGCTGACAACTGGTGGCAGGATGGCTCAGCTAAAAAAAAAAAAACTCTCAAGAATATTGCTCTAGGCAACACAGACACAAAATCCTGGAGACAGGTTTCAAGCCCAGGCCAATCTGACTTCAGATCTTATCCTGCCACTGAGCTCATTAATTTATTAATGAAAAAATCTTGTGCATAAGTCACAGCAGCTTAGAACCTGTTTGCATAGAGTACAGAACTTGTACATATAAGCCACTTCTTCTTGATTGTTCTTATTTATCATAAGAATTATTTTTTTAAATATCAAAATAGCTTTACCTTTTTTTTCTGACTACAGAGGTGATTCAGACACTGATGATAAAAGTGAAAATCACCCACAATCATACTGCTGAAATGTAACCATTGTATGTTTTTATAGGAGATCTTCGAACCATACATTTTGAATACCTGTTACAAGTTGGGTATTTCTTCTTTTTTCATAACTTACAGTAATTAGGACCTTCATTCCTAAAGGTCTCCTGATAGACTGCTCCTCCTCTCCTTTGAGGGTATTTGGTCTGGACAGATGCTGGGATCTTCCTTTTCTTGGTTGTGTTGGTGTATGTAACTGCTAGTTTTGTGCCTCTGAAATAAGAGCTCTCCCGTTCTGTTATCCAGCCTCATGTAGATCTGGGCGAATTCATCGGGTCCTCAGAGACGGAGGATCCTGTCCTGGAGATGACCAATGTGGGTCAGAATGCAGCGAAGGTCCAAGGGCCTTTGGCCATGTGGGAAAATGACATTCAGCACATTGAGCTGGAGAAAGGGAGCAAAGGACTTGGTTTTAGCATTTTAGATTATCAGGCAAGTATAGCCTCCTTTGAACAGTTTTTTTGAAAAAGTATATTGTTGATAGCAGATAAAAATCAGTTATTTTAGAGTTATTAAAAGACCTTTTCTTGTTTCTCAAATCTTTCAAAATAGTAATTTATATGATTCATTGATTATCATAAAAGATTTCTTGTAATATTGAATTCATTGAGCTCTTTTATATTTAATATTGAATTCATTGAGCTCTTGGGATTTGCAGAATATCTTTTAGGATTTTAATAGAAATATAGTATTTTTGGACATTTAGGGAGTTTGTCTAAATTATTTTTCCATGCACTTAATTAATAGTTCATATTTTAATAGTAAAACAATGTATTTCTTTCATCTGAAATGAATGATAGATTTATAACTGGATATATTATAAATTCTAGCATTCCTATCATTTAACTAAATTTACGAATGAGCTTAAATTGGTCAAATGTGATCTGCGTCCTTACCTTGCGTTGTGTTCTGTGCTGTGAGTTGCTGAGAAAATGCTGCAGCTGGTCTGAGAGAGTGCAGCTGTTGCTCCTCATTAATTAATACTGAAGCAGAACACCATCTCCGGTGACTGCGGGGGCCTGTGCTCTTCACAGAGCCTGATGCTGGAGCCTTCTGCTAACGTTAAGATTTCTGTGCATCCTATGCTGCATCACCAAGTACTATACGGCCTCTGTTATATTTCCATATTTCAAAAGACAGGCCCTGCCTTCAATATACTCACATCTACTGATATTCCAGAATAGTTACTATTCAAAAATTGCTGGTGTTAATAATTCATATATATATATGTATATATAAAAAATTCATATATCTGATATCTATCCTCAAATGATAGTGATAAAATTTGACAATTTATAAAAAAAATAAAGTGATTATTTTAAAGTTACCTGTACAGTCTGAAAGGTCCACTCAAGAAGGATGTCAAGTGACAGTGCCACATTTACCTGAACACTTTCTAAACTCTCTAAAATGGAGGAAACCCTTGCCCAGATAACTCATTAGAAGTGTTGATGAGAAATGTTGAAGACACTTGAAACCATTACCCATCCATTAGAATTCAGGGTGGACAAATTGTGAAAACATTTTTCTATGTGAAAAGGAGCTGACTTCTGTTTCCTGTTCTGCTCTGTAAGGATCCAATTGACCCAGCAAGCACTGTGATCATAATTCGTTCTTTGGTGCCCGGTGGTGTTGCTGAAAAGGATGGGCGACTTCTTCCCGGTGACCGACTCATGTTTGTCAATGATGCGAACTTGGAAAATAGCAGCCTTGAAGAAGCTGTACAGGCGCTGAAGGGAGCACCATCAGGAACCGTGAAAATAGGAGTGGCCAAGCCTTTACCTGTAAGAATTTTAATTTTATAGATCTCCTTTTATATTTGCGAACAAAATGTCTTGTAGGTTTCCCTTTAGCTTCTTGTGTTTTTACGATTGAATCATGGCTTTTGGTATGTTTCATCAACACGATGATTGGCTTCATGAGCGTGAAGATCTACTTTTGAGTAGTATTTTTAAAAGCGTAAAGGAAAGAAACCAAGAAGTTCAGAAATAAATGTATAACTTATTATTTCTGGCTTACTTTTGACCCTTTTTGTTTAATAATAAGGTTATGATGGTACAGAATCAAATATTTTCAAAGAAATATGCCTTAAAATATCTATACCAATACAGTGGAGTATTAGAGAAATGAATAGCATTAACAGCTAACAGTGGACCCTTTAATTAGGGTGAAAAAAAATAGAATATCTGTCAGAGTGCCTTAAGGTCCTGCATTCTGCTGATTTCAACACATTTGTCTAATTACTGCAAAGCAAGAAATTGAACTTTTCAAAGTGGGTTCATCAGCTTGGGGCTCTCCTCCTGGGAAGGAATAGCCCTCATGTCATTAATTACTGCAATATTAGAAATAACTAATGACATGCTACATAATGCCAATATGTTTAGTAGGGACAGTGATTGCAGCATAGCCCTTATCACTGAATTGCAGTGGAATATTGGAGATAGTCTCACTATTTGTGAGTTTTTTTCAGTGTATAAATATATTTTTACATAAAAGGGCAAGTATATACCTTCTGTTAAAAAAAACACCAACACGTAGATCTATTTGCATAAACATCAAATACAAATTTGCTGACTTTGTGAAATAATTTGTTCAAATAGTAAGCTTTGTTAATTAAAATGTTAATTAAATTTTTCATGCTCCACTTTTTACTTCACAGAGAATTGATAACCTATGAAAATATATTTATGAAATCAGAAAAAGGGAGAGAGAAAGGGAAGAAGAAAGAATATGTTAATCCGGCCTTAAATCAAATCAGGATTGTAGAAATCAGAGCAAAAGATCAATACAAAGGGGAATGTAATAATGAAGAAGGGCTGTTATGGAACTCTACATATATGTTAAGGTTCACCATTCATTGGGTTATGGTCTTTCTGTTAGACAAAGAAAAATGGCAAACATGACTCAATATGTGTTTTTTACTGCCCTTGAAGAGAAACTGTACCAGTTATTTAGAAGCAGACTTTTTTTTCTCCTAGCTATTTCCAAAATAAATTTCTTTCATGAAAATATTTGCTATTTCAAATTCAATGTGCATTGCAATACTATAACTGTTTTTTACATAAAGTGAGGTTTACTAACTATTAAACACATATGTGTGGAAAAAGAAGAGAAACAGTTATTCCCTAAAATACTTCTGCATGTATTGATGATACACAGTGATGTAGAACAGACATTTATCTAAATATTTTAGCCTATTTTATCTGAGGCTAACATTTTACAATAAAAATGTTAGGTTTTCTGTCAGTGTGATCAAGGTTACAGTATAATAGCTCAAGACTGCAATTTAAGTAGATCGTGTACATGTAGATTTTTTTTTTTAAGTTATGCTAAATTAAGAGATTGTAGGGTTCACTAATCTTTGTCAAGTAAATTACACTCTATAATGTAATATCTAGTCATGGATGACAGAGAAGTTGATATTTTTTAATTTTTTGCTTTTCTGCAACTTCTTCTATGTTTTAACACCTAAAAGTTGCCTTATTTCTATACTAAGAACTCATTGTTTAGCCAGAATATTTGGCAGATTAGAAGTTACCAGATTATTATCATATAAAAAAATTGATTTTGATAATCTTTTATAAGAAGAATGAAAACAATAGTAGAAAGGGATTCTTATCTAACAGATGATGTTGGTATTGGGATAAATATCCTCTTTATCTTAGCAAATAAAAATGTTAAATGTGAATATTTATTATATTTCATGCTTATCATTCTCTGTTAAAGTCATATGGTATCATTTGAAAACTTGCCCATGTTTTCCTCGCCTCCTCTTTTTGTCCCTCTTTTCTCTTCTCTCTCTCCATGATCTCATCCTCAAACTCTGAGCTTCATTCTCCCTGCAGCTTTCACCAGAAGAAGGTTATGTGTCTGCTAAGGAGGATCCGTTTCTCTACCCCCCACACTCCTGCGAGGAGGAAGGGCTGGCTGGCAAAGCCCTCTTCAGGGCCGACTTGGCTCTGGTTAGTGGCCATGACTTACCAAGCTTTCTTGCAAAAATCTTGTGTGTCTCATTTTTGCCTTTCAAAATATTCTAAAGTCTAACTGTATTCTTTGTTCATTATGTTTTGGAAAACTAAACATTTTCTCATCAACTACAATGGTTCTCATAATTCAAAATGGGCAGAAAAACAAACATAATACATGTGAAAACTATTTGTTGGATTTATGGGGAAAATTCATTGAGCAAGGCAGTATGGCAGCATGTAGAATTAATCTTTACATCATACCAACACTTTGTTGGAGCAGTTGGTTGCTTTAATTTCATAGTTGGGTATATCTCGACATTCTTTAACTGTTTTGAGTAGTTAGCCATAAATCAGCATTTCACCTTGCTTTTAATGAGGTAACAGGTCTCCATAGGCATTATGTTAACATTATATTAACATTTCAAAACTAGACATTAATAGTTTAGAAAACTGTATAACTACATAAAGTATTATGCTCTAAATGTGTTACATAGTACAGCGCCATAGAAAATTCTTTTTGAAATATTGTAGGACACAACTATATAATTGCCTCTGAAAATGCCCCAAGAAACAGTTTTCTCTGTACCATTTATATGGCTTTCTTGAATCTCCTTTACTGAATGCCAGTCCAAAAGATCAGTCCCACTTTCTGTGAGTTCAGCATCTTGTGGTAGGAGAGGTCCTGGGTCTTCTCTCTGACTAGCTATATAATCTTATATTGGCCACTGAGCTTTTCTGGGCCGTGGTGTTTTTATCTCTACAATAATTTGATGAATTGATTAATAGGAGCTCTTTTAAGATTTTAAGGCATCAGTGGAAAGTATACAAATTGTTTTGAGATGTTTTTCTTTAACGTTACTTAAAACAAATATTTTTTCTGTTGTAATCCATGACCCAAGTCTTAATTAACACCTGTTTAGGTAGCAAATGTTAAATATTCACTATTTAGATTGTTGCACATAATATACATTTGTAAAGGGTAGACTTCCACATAGATACTCACTAGTGAATTTGACCATGTATTCAAAATATATTAGAGAGAGGTTCATTTTCAAATGGCCCATCAGTATTCTTACAGTGTTTTTGTAAGAGTGTGACCTGGTATCCTCTTACATTGCTTGTAACTTCTCCTGGCTAGATATGTAAGTTGAAATCACAAAGAAATAGAACATGGATATTTTGCCCTTAAAACAAAACACAGGTAATACTGAAGAAGGGTAGTATTTATGTCAGTCTACCTATTCTAAGGTATATCAGTGAATGAATTGTGAGAAGAGCTTCTAGCGTATCATGTCTTGATTCTTTCACTTGGTTCTTCCACAGAAGATAGGAATAGGATTTTTAGATAATATGTAATGAAATTCTCTATATGAGTTTTCAGTGGTAGCAGTTTATAACTTAAAGCTTCACTATAACTAGATTATAATTAGGCTCCTTATTTATTAGTATAATTTCAGCATGAAATGCCATATTTTCTCTATGATATCTGATGATCAACTTCAAATTCTAGATCTGTAACTTGAATTGTTTTAAAATCTAATTAAAGATAATTTAAACAAAATACATTGTCTTAGTGAGTTTTACAAATAGATAGTTGATTGCCTAGCTGGCCTATTGAATAAGTTTATTTTTGTTGAATTGGAAAAGTGATGACCTCATTCATTGTATTATAAAATTCTAGGACTTGGGCAGGTGTTATTAAAAAATGTCAAGTGGAAAAAAAGCAAGTGCAGTATTTTCCTCACTTATGGAACTATTTAAGCTTAGAATTGATCCAGGCCCTTTCTTAATGGTTACTTTTAGCCCTTTTATTGATGGAATAAAGTGACCTTCGAAGCCAGCAACCTCTACTGCAGTGGGCAGTCTTGTCCTTGTTCTGTTGTGTTAGTCAGTCCCTGATGTGTTGAAGAGGTCATGTAGGAAAAAGAATAGACAAAGGAATGATACCCGTATTCCTTTTAGTCTCAAGTGGGACTTGGTCATATATGTAATAGAACAGAGTTTCCAACTGATACTATTGTTTGTATTCTTAGGTGGACACAAATGATGCTGACTTAGCAGATGAATCTCCTTTTGAGTCTCAGTACTCCCCTGATAATGACAGTATTTACTCTACTCAAGCCTCTATTTTATCTCTTCCTGGCAGTACTTGTAGTGATGGCCTGAACTATGGCCCCTCTCTTCCATCTTCTCCTCCCCAGGTACCAAGGAAATGCTGTTTTATTTATGGGAGAACCTTGTGTGCCATTTTTCAGAGGTCATTGTTGATGGAGAGTTATAGGAATAGCATGTTAGAGACATGATGTTTCTCCAGTCACGGATTCATCATCAGATTAAAGTGCAGTTTCATTAGAAAGTGTTGATCGGGTAACTTTTAAAGTCCTAGGGGCTATTTAATTCTAGGGCTTGTGATACAGAGGGATAGACACAAGGGTTCCAAGCTTTGACTTGGATTTTTGTGTTAAAAGGAAAAAAATTAATGAAATGTATTTCTCAAATTGTGTTTTTAGCTGTGTGTACTTTGGAAAAATTACAAGAATAACTTTATTTACTTAATGGTTTTAAAATTGACTTTAATGCAAAGTTGGATAATAAAATATTTCTTGCATTAATTTAATATTTACTAGCTAAGTTAAACTTAATGCTGTCATATGTTTTTATATAAAATGATGCCAAAAATACATAAAAATCACAGTAAATGGCAAAGTACATTTAAGTCACTGGATTTGAATGAAGAATTTAGTTACTAAATGACTGTGCCATTTATATTTTAGAAATAGATTATTGGCATATATGCTCCGACTTTATTCATTTCCTTGGCGACTTGTTCTCTAATGTTTAATAAGTAATATTTTAAAGCCTATCTGATCATTTGGGTGTGAAATGGTATCTTATTTTAATTTAGGGTTCCTGATTACTAGTGAGATTAAACACTTTTTCATATATTAGCCATTTGGCTTTCATTTCCATCAATGGCCTCTTCATATCTTTTGGCCATTTTTATAGTGGGTTGCTTAACTGTTGATTTGTTAAGAGTTGTTTATATTTTCTTGACATTGAAATACATGGCAAGTCAGTGTATTTTTATGAGTAAGTGTGTGAGTGTACATATTAAAAAACCTAAAAATGTGTGGGATGTTACCTCTGGACTTAAGTAAAGAAGTCATTCTTGGAGAAAAAAGGAAAGATGGGAATTTAGCTGTATCTGTAATACATTATACATTTTAAGTAGAAAGAGAGAGTGATGACAATATGGCAAAATGTTAATAGCTATTAAACCTGGGCAAAGGGTTCATATATGGATATATTTATTTTTTAATGTTGGAATTATACCATAAACAATAAAAATTAAGATAAAAAGACTGGGCAGTAGTTTCTTAAATATCTGAAATATATGTTTTCCACATAAATTCAGTGGGAAGGGAACCTGAATCTATGAATAAGTTGGAAAGTAGAATTTTCATACGTGTAGCACAGTTTTCCTCCTTCCCTGATAAAATGTTTTAGCCAGAACATTTCAAAGCATTTTCTTTTATGTTCAAGGTGCACCTGTTATCCTTGCAAATGATGCTGGGCAACCTCTTTGAATTGGTTTGCAAGGTATAATCTTGAATGGAGCAGCTGCTCCTCTTTGCGCACACCTGAGACTGTCTGTCTGACTGCGTCCTGCCTGGACCCTGTTCAGCCTTTCCTGGCCTCAGGGCTGGAAACTGAGTCCATCTCCTAATGGAATCGCCTAATCCACAGCATAGCACACATATTCCTGCCAGTGGGACAGATTGCATTGTTTAACTTAGTAATTGTTACTTAAAGGGATTACACAATCTGCATACTGAGAAGCATATATTTTACAGGGCAAATGCTGGCAGAATTCAGCATAGCATCCTGGTTTACAGAAGTCTGTTTGCCTCCTTCCCCCCCCCACCCCCCCAACCAGTTTACTCTTTTGTTGAAGCAAATTTTGGCAAGCTGGCTTACCAACTGAAATGTTTCAACTACAAAACAACAAAGAAAACGTTAATAAGGGTGTTTTAAAACATTGTGAAACTCCTGTGGGATTTTAGGTTTCTCTGAAAGTAGGACTGCTCCTACGTCATGATAAATCTCTGCAACATTCTCGTTTGTTTTGTCTTGTTTTTATTTTTGTTTTTCTGTGACATCTTTTTAGCACAGAGTTTTTTACTAGAAAATTGAATGTATAAATAAAAAATAGATGATGCATTCATCTTTTTTGTTCCTTTGCCCTAAATTTACTTTAAAGAGAAAATGGCAATTTAGTATGGAATTTAGAAGTGGCCATTTTTCTTAAAAGTGAGCTTACTTTAGGGTTTTTTAATTGATCAAATAAGATTGGATAGTATATGATGTTTAGAAAAAAAATGAAGACTCCTCCATGTGGATTTGAAGGAAGGATGACATGGAGTGTGAGGATATCAGTGATTCTTCAAGTTTATGACTTTGCTAAAAATGTAATGGTCTTATAGCTTTAAATTGTGTCTGGGAGTGTACAAGTAACTGTCCCTGCCTTCTTACCTGATGAGAGAGTTCTTTTCACTTTGGTCGGGTTTGCTAGCAGAAGTTGTTGAGACCTAGTCACCCAGAGCAGGAATGTGTCATGGACAGAGGCCTTATTCATAATTGCAGAGCCTAGGCCTCGACAGCAGCTTAGATAGACACAGAGGGCTGCAGCCATCAATGGAAGAACTCCTCACTAAATGCTCCCATTAGGAGGCGCATTCTGCTTTTTCTGCTTTTTCAAGGAGTGGTGTTCACTTAATTTGATTAATCATCATGTAAGGATTTAAGCCAAATAACCATTACTCAAAAATGTGAAAAAATATAGCTGCTTTCATGGCATTTGGATTAATGAAATGTGGATTTTAAAGGCAAGCAGCCAGTCGGTTTTTTCCTTTCTTATTGTTCTAAGTTTTAATTTTTTTATTAACATATTTATCACCTTTTCATTATCACCACCAAAGATATAAAATTGCAGAAATAGTTGTTTTCAAACTATATAGTTTTGTTTAAAAGCTCAACATATTTTTGGGGAGAGGATACTTTCATTTATTTTTTTTCCTATTTTGACTTTAAAATGCACCCAACGAAGATTTAATAGCTATGTAATGAGTCCCCCCTTCTACGCATAACCCTCAAACGCGTGTCCTACTCTCCCTGTCCACCCACATTCTCACTTGCTTCAGGGGTGAAATGATTACCAATTAGGTGCATGTCCTGCATTTCTGAATATGGTACCCCTAGGAAATGCTATTGATTCTAGTTCAAGTTGAACTCAGTGTTTGTCAAGATTGAAACCCCTTTTGGCACCTTGCATACCAAACACAGCGAATGGATTCCATGATACTAAAAAAGAAAAATGCCTACACGTCTTCACTGGCTGTCATTGTATAGCATAAAATGTTGTAGCCTTTACATCCATGTTTAAAATCTACGTTAGAGAAGGGATTTAGTACCAAAACCTAATTCGGTCACTCTAGTCAAGATGATGACGAGTGGTTGTGGAAATCTTAGTGACAAAACTGCAAGCTCTCAAAGGTGTAAAAGATGTTGCCTTTTCACTGAGTAGGGTCAGCGTATAAACAACAAAGGAAGTGTACCCCATCTCAGAAAGAGTGGGAGAACAATGGAAGTTGGAGCAGCTGTTATAGTATGTTTTTCAAAACTATTAAACGGGGATTTCTGTGGTAGACTGCTTACTGAAAAAAAGCAGGTCGTGTCCAGTGAATGTTTTAGTATGTAGCTACTCTCTGTAAATATATTATCTGGGTAAATAATGTACCCAAGTATAACCTTAACATGTTCATTAGACTTAAAAAAAATAGAGCTTTCAAATATACTTCAAAAATACAGTTTTCAAGTATATTTGATGTTTTTATTTAGCCTCTCCCTCATTTTTTCAAAGAATAAGAATATACAATATAGAAAGTGGAGGCACATATTAAGGTGGATTTTTGGTATCTTGACTTCATTTTGATACCAGGTTGCACTGGGAAAGTGTAGTTATTTTGGGACATTTATGGGGGGAAGAACTGCTTTTCTTTTAGAGCCATAAGACTTTTAAAAATAAAACTTAGTTGGTTGTTCAGCAACCAGAAATGTTTCCTAAGTAGGCGTATGTTGTCTGCTGTGTTGATTAGCTCTTTCTTTTCTGTGTGTCTGTGTTAATTCCTTCATGAATAATGCATGGCGATTTCTATTACATGATTTACAGTAAATCCCAGCTAACAGGGCAGCTTGACCTCTTTTTCTGATGAAAAGTGATTTTTATTGTTATCTTTATTTAGGGAGTGGAGAAGTGATTTACTGCTAATTATCATAATTAATTTAGTAATACAGAAGCTAACCAATTTGTATAGTGAGTATGTTGTTATTTTTCATAAGACTAAAATAATCAGAGTTGGGCAAATGAGGCAAGTTATTGTTTACCCTCTAGGAGTGTGGACAATGATACTTTCGTATCATTGTTCCTGAGGATTCTAAAGATGTTATTTGCTTGTATTATATTCTTTTTACCATGAATACTTGTTAATTCCAGAGAGATGAAAATTTGGTTGAGGAAGTGGAGTATAATAAATTGTGTTGGAGCAATTGGTTATCCACTTAGAAAAAATGAAAAGAGATGCCCATATCTCACACCACACCCTGAAATAAATTCCAGATGGGTTAAAACTGAATCTGAAAACAAAGCACTTATAAAATAGAAGAAAAATACTAGAAAGCATTTCATTTACTTTGTGCTGAAGAAGAACTTATGAAGCTATATATAAACCCAGAAGCACACAAAAAAATTTAACAAATTTTATTACATAAAGAATTCCTTTAAGAATTCCGTAGTGAATTCTCAATTACGTAAAGAATTTAACATCTGCATACATATATATAGATAGATAGATAGATAGATAGTTATACATATATCTATCTATATATATCATATACAAATATAAAAGAGAAGAAGCTGGAAACATATTTGCAGTATATATCACAAAGACTATATTCAGAATATGCCAGGGCCCGCCTAGTGGCTCATTGGTTAAGAGTTGGCTTGGGAGCGCAAGCTCTGAGCAGCAGGGTCACCAGTTTGGTTCCCACATGGGCCAGTAACGCTGCGCCCTCTACAGCTACGATGGTGAACAACAGCTTGAGTTGGAGCTGGGCTGCCATGAGTTGCCGGTGACGGCGTAGGCTGCAGTGGGGCTGCAGTGAGCTGTCGTGAGCCGCCGTGAGCGGCCGTCCAAGGGCCGGCAACCAATCTGCCTCAGCCAGGAAGAGTGCAATACCAACATGGGCCAGTGAAGCGACGTCCTCCACAACTAGACTGAAGAACAAAAGGACAGCAACTTGTCTGTTCCCCTTCCCTGATTCCCCAACGCTGTTCCCTCCCCCAAATCCCCAATAAAATCTTTAAAAAAAATAATATGCCAATGATGACAATACGTGAAAATCACCTGATTAAAGTTTTGATAAAGTATATGGAGTGTTCACAGGAGATATACAAATGACAAGTCCTCACTAATTGTCATGGACATGCATAGCAAAACACTAAGGCATATATTTCTTACAGATCAAATTACCAAACTAATTTAGGGTTGTCAAGATTAACTAGTAGGTATTCCCATAGTTTCTTTGTGAGAGAAAATTGAAAGACTATTAGGCAACATAGGCAGCATCACTTGACCCACAGCTCTCATTGTAGGAGTTTATACTAAATAAATTTTCACAGGTCCACAAAGATGTGCAATAAAAATAACAGCAATGGCTGAAATTGATCATTTTCTATTAAGTCGGGCATGTTTTTAGTACTTTGTGGTATTAACTCTCTCTGTCCTCTCAACAGTCTTAAACTAGGTCCTGTTATTTTCTCTAATTAATAGACAAAGGAACCAAGGCCCAGAGTATATTTAAGTACCTTGTCAAAGCTCAAAGACTTGACTAGTGGTGAAGCCAGCATCTGAACCCAGTGAGCCCAGTTTGCTGATGCTTTTTGAGGCTCTAGAGTCTGCACTCCAGTCCTTTCCTACTTCGGAAAATTTTATAGCCATTAGAAGACTGAAGTTGACTTTTAGTAACTGACATGGTAATCTCTCATGTGAAGGTTTAAAAATACTTCAAAAAAACCCAAAAACCTGTGTCATGTATGGTTCAGTTTAGGTTTTAAAAATGTATATGTGTACATGCACAACCTGTGAGTGTGTGCATTTGTACTTGTATGTATGTTATGCAAATGCGTTAAAAAATCTGATGAGTCAACAGCCAACTGAAGCCAGCCATTTTTACTGGGAAAGGACCAAGAAGTGGGAGCCATAAAGGAAGACTTGAATATTGTACTCTGTGTGCATACACAACATACATCTGTATGGCTTGAATCTTTCCCGATGATAATGTATTCATACACTACTTTTATGCTTTAAAAATATCAATCAAAGAGTTGAAGGGAAAATTGATATATTTATTCAACAGCAGTTCATATAGCAACTGCTTGCCCAAAGCACATAAATGATACAATATATCTGTTGTAAGGAAATAAATGTGTTTATGTAGAGCTATAGAATTTGAGTCTTGGGGAATTTTAGAAGTTAATATAAAGCCAAGAGAGTTCTGTGGTGTACAGGTGGTTAATGAGAGAGCCTGGATTAGAACCTACATCTTATGATAACTCTTCTTAGTATTTCTTCTGTTGTATCTTGCAGAATATGTATAAAAATTTTCCCTATAATAATATAAATTGCTTGGCTTTCTGTTCTTCTCCATAAATACCTATAAATGTCCGTCAAAATAATTTTTTCTTAGAGGTTCTTGTGAATCCAAATCAATGTCATTCTCTTTACACTCTTGATCTTATAATCAATAGGAACTCAGACTGATTGGAAATGAACTACTTAAGTAAGATTTGGAAATATAAGGTACTTGCTTTCTCCTGTAGATTGAACTCTGAATTATTTCATTTGTGAACAATATAATACTGTATCTAAATGATCTTATGTCCAGTATATTGTACAGGTGTAACTCGGTAGACTATGAGATGTACAGTTTGCAGGAAACGTATTCAAAAACATTTACAAAAATTTTAGAGATATGCAGAATATCAGCAAGTGGTGAATTTGTATGTTTGCTAATGCTTTTTGAATAATAAATAGTTACATTGTGTTTTGTTTTTTCACTAAATAGTTGCTCATTAAGAAGTAGCCTTAATGAGACTTACAAAATGCATTGATGTAATTCTGGCCATAATTTTTCTTCTTATTTTTTTGTTCTTTAATCATTAGAATGTTACTGAAAACTCTTCAGAGCCAGTGCTTGATCTCCACATGTCCTTGGAGGAAATGTACACCCAGAATCTCCTGCAAAGACAGGACGAGAGTCCACCTTCATCAGACTTGAGTATGGGACCTGCTTCTGGCTTTGCCATAAATGATTATACACCTGCAAATGCTATTGAGCAGCAATACGAATGTGAAAACACAAGAGCGTGGACTGAGTCTCACCGGCCAAATGAAGTAACATCAAATGCAGAACTTACTTCTCCTCTGCTACCTGATTCAACTGGAAAGGTAACATTTTAAGGACACAGTGTGTTTTATGAGGTTAGGGACAGTGAAGTGTCAGTCTGCCTAATCCCCTCATTTGGAGTGTGTGTGTGCTCTCCTGATGCTAAATTTTTCAGAAGCCAACCTATGAACTTGTTTTGGTTACAGATTTCTTGTTGAATAAGGCATAATCAATGAGAGCATATGTGTGATGTTGAAATCATACTCCAAAGTCTAATTTTCCTTTCCATGTGACTTATTTATTTTGTTTCCGCCAGGGCTCTGAGTTCTTAAATCAACAGAGCTCCCTGGCTTCCGCTGCCGAGTGTGTCATGCTTCAAAATATGCCCAAAGAATCTTTTGAGAGGACCATTACTATAGCAAAAGGCAATTCTAGCCTCGGTAAGTTCCTTATTGTCCATACATACCTTCCCACCCAATCCCCTCCCAGTGTGGAACACTGAACTTGGTTTTGATACCTTGGGCTATAGATAAGAAAATCAACGTTCTAAAATTTTCTGCAGTTTTTACTCATTATTTTTTCTGAAATGGTTAACAGGTTTGTTTCGTTCCAACTAGCTCAAATCCTTCAGTCTCTTAATTATTTAAAAGTATTCAGGAGCCTCATTTACATTCAAGCAAAAGATATATGAATTGTTTGTGTATGAAACAGCAAATCAGAAAAAGAATTCGTAGAAAATGAAAAGTCAGCAATTTGGAATTCTAAATTCTTTGGAAAAGCAAATTATTAGTTTCTTTGAATGTTACTAGTTATGCATAACTCAGTTTGTATTTAATTTCTTTCATTCACTGAAATAAAGACTAAAAAGACAGCCAGGTGTGCCACCACCAAAATATAAATGCAAGTTATTCAATAGTCCTTCCCAGGTGGCAGGGTTTTGTGTTCTCTCTTAATCCATAAAAGGTTGCAGCTAGTTAATAAACATAAAACCTTCTGAATTGGGCAAAGAAGACTTCTTGTAAAAATAAAATCCTAATTACAATAACTAAAGCTATATTGAGGCAGAGAACATTTGTCCCTTTTTTTTTTTTTTTGTGCGTTAAGCAGTCATGTGACTCAGCTCTGTCCCTTGTGCTCTGTGATAAGGATGTCAGATCAGTTACTCTGAATGCGGAGTGCAGCCCAAGATTCTTTGGTCAGCTATCCATCAGAGATCTTGTTCCTGCTATGATGTAACCAACCCATACCCTTTACATTGATATCTGATGTCAGGGTCTTATTTCCTTGTTAAGCTTGAGACTTGGCAGAGAAGCCCAGCAATGCTTACTTGATGAGTGGGATTCCAGTCTCTGCGTCGCTCTAGATTTTGTTCCATATGGTGGTGGCTGGGTACCACCAATGGCAGCTAAATGGAGAATTATAGCAGAGAATTTGTACTTAGTTATATTTCTTATATGTTACATTTAGTAGAATGATACAAAATTTAAGTTACAGAACATTTCTATAATACATTAATTATGAGATGGGTATTATAGATATCAAAGCATCTCAGGAATATTTCATCTGCTAGTGCAGTGTTTCTGAAAGCATGTTACTTAGAGCATTGGTTCTATAGGATGTTAATAAGAGTTATAAATGGGTTCCAAGTTTAATAGTTTCGAATGGGATGAATTTAAGGAGACAGGTTTCTGTTTGCATTACTTCTCAGTATCTTTGATACTCAGATGTGCATTGTGGCTCTCTAAGAAGGGATGCAGCTTTTCTCTCATTTAGTTGGCCATAGAACCCATTTTTTGACCAACTCATAAGACAGAAATTTTGTAAAGCCTGTAGGAGAAACCCTATTCTAGTGTATTTGCTCAACTATCACACTTTCATTTTTTTCTGTGTTCTAACCACCATGCGTAGACACCATGATGTAATCACTTTCCTTGATGAACATGGGTTAAAGAGAGTAAGCTAATCTACACATACAGTCCTAGATGCATTAAAATGTTATACATGCTATGATAGACATTCCTACAGAGAACAATGAAGGCTTAAAAGAGGGAGTGACTGATCCCTACTCTCTGAGTATGTGGAGGAGTTTAGGAAGGTTTTGAAGAGGAGAAGATACTTGATTGAGTTCTTGAAAGAGGAGTAGATTAGGAGAAAGTAGAATTGTGGAAAGTTGGAAGCTACTAGAGCTGAGGCAGAGAACTGTGAAACATTCCTGAATTTTGTTTGGTGTGGATGAAATGCAGTGTGATGGTGGGCAAAGTAAGAGTTGAAGTTAAAGGAATGATAGGTGGGAGCCCACGGCTGGGTGGGTTTGTGTGCATGACACAGGACTTCGGGGGTGACACCCTCCCATAGACAGTGGGAGCTCGGGGCGGAAGAGGGACATGGTCGGGTTTGTTTGAAGATCATGCTGGCATAGGTTGGTGAATTAGATTGGAAGCAGTCGGGAGGCCCTTGAGAGAGCCCTGACTTGAGTACATCTGATTTTATAATCTGACCCCTTTTTGGGTTGCTCTTCTATTTTTAGTTTCCTGAGAAAATGCTGAATTTTTTCAAATCTTTTTCTTCCTTTATTGAGACAATCATGCTTTTTAATATGTTGTTATTGTGTGAGGACACATCATTTTTTTTAAGTGTGGTACAGATACCTAGCATAAAATTGACCATTTTAACCATCTTTAAGTGTAAGATATACACACATATGTACACATGCATATAGCCATCTTTAAAACTTTTAATCTTGGTGATTTTTGATATGTCTGTGATCCATTGGCTAAATATGTTATATTAGGTTAGGACTTGAAGGTGAAAAGCAAAGGTAAAAAGGTAGGCACAAAAAGAAGGTATTATCCTGCCTTCATTGATTAGACTCAGAGACAAAGACTCAGAAATTTTCCTGCAAGTACTCAGTCCTCAGGAGATGGAAGCAGAGCTCAAACCTGGCTCTGTCTCCAGCTTTGACTCACCATGCAATATACATCATTCCCCAAGTTACTCATGGCTACCTTAAGACTGCTGTGATAACAAGCTTCATTTTGAAGATGAATGAAGATATGCATTTAGCCTTTAGAGAGCAATACAGCTTTGGATTGGAATAGAGATGCATTTTAAATATATTCTGGAAGTTTTCATTTTGTACTTATTGAGCACTTTGTGCCAGGCACTCTGAAAGTTACTCTGCATAAGCTTACCTCACATAATTCTTTAAACTCCCCTAAAGTAGGCATTAACCCCATTTTGGGTACAATGAGGCTCAATGTGAGGTTATGTCAGTTACCCAAAGTTGCAATGATTAGAAGTGATACAGCTCAGATTTAGAACCAGTTCTTTGGTTCTACACTACATGGTTTAGTCTATACTGCTGCACTTCTTTCAGGGAGGAAAAAAAAAAAAAAATAAAATAAAATAAAATATATATATATTTTATATATATCTTTTATATATATTATATATAGATAGAGAATTTGTAAGTTATAATCAAAATCTAGTTAGTGGATATTACCTTAAAGTTGTTGGACTAAAAATGATCGTTTGGTGAAAGGAAAATATAAGCTAACTGATGTCAACCTCTTGGTTTATATAGTTGGCATGATGTGACAGCCTTAATAGCTGATAGAGTTAGGAGTTAAATATGCTCTGAAAAATGAATTTGAAGGCCATGTCAGCTGTTACTCATGAGGACTTGTCCCATGTTTATGGCTTGCTTTATTGTACAGTGAGTGAATGGTGCGAGTGAGAAGACGGTGGGTTAGCTTTCCAGTATGGGCCACTGAGTTAAATTTTGTTTCATAGCCGTACATTTCGATTATACCATAGTCCACTTTTGGTGGATCTTGGCGGGAACGGTGGCAGCATCGGACACATTAGTGTACCATTGAAATATTGGGTTGTCAGAAATGGCATGACGCAACGAAAAACAGAAAAAATATGTCATGACTTTTCTGACAACCCAGTATGTCACAGCCAGTCGCTTTGCTCATAAGAAGCCCCCCTGGGATGAAGTAGTGTCTAAACTTGTTTGTTGGTTTATGGTAAGCAGAGGTGTTTCCTTAATGACAGTACCTCTAAAAGTCATTAGTATGTATATTAGCTATTAGTATTATTAGTATAAAATAATATTTTATATACATTGATAATGGTTTATTTCTATCAGAAAATGATTACTAGGATCCTAGATTGTCCATAGCCAATCACAAACTGTCAGGCTAGAAGCATATAGTAGTCAGGATTGTTCTTAAAAAAATATTTGAAACATCATAATCTAACTTAGTATAATCAGAATTAATAATTTAGACAAAGTATTGTTTTCTTTTTTTAAAAAAATGTAAAAACCCAAAGTGGAGTTTGTGACTTCTCTCAAAGAAAGTTTTTAGGTATACAGTTATTGCTTTATACCTCTCCTTGTCTGGTTTAATTATATAATCTTGTTTTTGAAGGAACTTTTAGAACTTCATTTTAAGTGATTTGCATTATTTTGTGTAATGTTTTAACATAATTTCTAAAGGTTTTATATTTTTGAAGGAATAGCGTGAAGGTAGGGTGAGAAGGCAACGTTAATTCGGATGGTTTGTGGAGAAAGCCATTTTGAGGAAGCGATACTGAAGAGTGAGAAGGAGCTGGTTGTGTAAGAACTGTTGAAAGAGGGCATAAGGCAAAGACCCTGACATGGGAAGAGACTGGGTGTGTTTCTGAAAGAAGGTCACGTTGCTGGATCACAGGGAGCCAAGGAAGACGTGGCACCAGGAAGGGTGTGTGTTGAGAGAGCCAGGCCACCAGTGCTCTATAGGCTGTGTCAAGTATGTGTGATGCATATCAGTAGAACAGGAAGTTGCTAAAGCATTGTTAGCATAGGAGTGATGTAATGTGATTTGTCTTTTTGGAATGATCACTCTGTCTGCTGTGGGAAGAATGCGCTGGAAGCCAGGAGACCAGTTAGGAGGCTCTTTTGAAAAGTGAGGCAAGAGGAGAAGGTCTCAGCTGGCTTGGTCTGAGGTTAGGGTGGGCACGGAGAATGATGAATGGATTCAAGATAGAAATGGCAGGACTCAGTGATGGATTCACTCTAAGAGGTGAGAAACAGGTAGGAATCAAGAATGACTCTAACATCTCTGCCTTGAGTAGTGGAGAGGATGCTTGTGGTACACCACCCAAAAGGGGAAGACAAATGGAGAAATAAGAGGAGGGAGGAACATAAAATTGAATTTCTAAGTTGAGTTTTGTACATCCTAAGGTTGCATTTCCTATTAGCCAGGGAACATGGCAGGAGGGCAATTGAATATCCAAGTCTGGAGCTTACAGAAGTTCAAACTTGGAGATAAAATGGGAATAGATTAGAATTAAGTTCACATCAATTCAGTTCAGACTACTCTACATTCAGGTACTGCTGATAAGACTTGAATATGAGCTTCTTGATGTTAGGAATTCTGTGTTATGTTTTTTTTAGTCTCAAGTACCCGATACAGTACTTGGCACGTAGTAAGCGTATAGTAAATATATACTGAATAAACAAATGATTTGGAAATAAGGTAGTAGCACAGAGTTTAATTTATTAAACTAATTTTCCATTTGTAGCCCTGTTGTTTATGCTCTTCTACGAGATAAACGGCTATTATAAAATTGATTTGATACTCTCAAAATATTCTCCCTGGGAGATCTTTCTATTTAAGGGGCAACACATCAAATAGCCTAACTTACATTAACTCCAGTGTAGAGCTGTTTCAACTCCAGTGTATTCAACGTGGAGTGTCATTGTCTAGATAAAATTGCACAAACATTTCCGAATTTAGTCTAAAAATATTTTTTGCTGGAAATTTTTTCCTTTCCTTTTGATTGTTTTTTTTATTGGCTAAAAAAAAAGGTAATGCTAATCTTTTATCTCTGAATCCATAGGGATCATTGTATTCAAATTAAAATGAATTTGAAAGTCACTTATTTAATCCTTATCTGTGTTCCTTCATTACCATAGGGATGACAGTAAGTGCTAATAAAGATGGCTTGGGGATGATTGTCCGAAGCATTATTCATGGAGGCGCCATTAGTCGAGACGGCCGGATTGCCGTTGGTGACTGCATCTTGTCTATTAATGAAGAGTCTACTATCAGTTTAACCAGTGCCCAGGCGCGAGCCATGTTGAGAAGACATTCTCTCATTGGGCCTGACATAAAGTAAGTATCTATTGGACCCCAGTTTAACTTGGGGAAATTCAGGAATTTCAGTTCATGAATCAGATTTTTTTTTTCAGTATATGCTTCTGTGTGATATACAAGAATTATTTATTTAATATACATCACCTAAGAATTTTGCTTAGTTCTTGATTATAGGTCGTCTCTTAAGATAACAGTGTTGAACTATTTTAAAACATGTTGCTTTCTCTTTTTAACTTGACTTCTCCAATGATTTCTGCAAACACCTTAGAGTGAGAGAGAGGAGCCATTTCTCACAGAGCAGGAGGGTCTTCTCTTAGGATCTGGTAAAGAAGTTTGGTTTGGCCTCAGTGTAAGGAATTGGACACTACCTAATTGATCTGTATGAGTCCTAGAACTAAGCCAGGAATGGAAAAGAGCATATAAAACAGTGCCAGTCGGACCCATAATTTTCCTTTGCTGAACTACCGCATGATGCAAGAAAATTCACCAATATTTTGATATAGCCTGATTGTAGGTCATATAGGATACTTTTTGGAGCCATGCTTATTAAACTGTTCCATAATCTCTTAATGTGCAAAAATCATGTCATATTTGTGGTTTGGTTTTTAAGTTATTAAACATTTTATGAACCAACATAGGAATTAGCTCATGACTTTATTGTCACACCTCATCAGTGTAATAGCTTGGCTTTTTCTCTAGCATTAACCATGGAATATTTGTATTTAGTGTATAAAGGATAAAATAGTAAAATGAGAGCTCAGGAAAAGAGTGTTTACCTTAAATTGATACAATGATTACTAGTATGGGAGACTTTATTGTATTAATGCTATTTTACTGACTGCATTCTGTATTATTTTTTTGCAAAGTAGATATTTTTAGAGCTTAGGTAAGAAAAACAATACTTACAATCTGTTTTTCATTGTGCCAAAAATAAAACGTAGAAACATATATACTGTTTGGAGCGGATTCTGCTGTCTTATAAAACAGTATTTTGAGACAGAATTTCACTAATGGGCTTTCATATTTTTGCATGTCTTTTGATTTTGATTTTATAATGGAACAGAGCATCAGATCCTGTGACAGTTGCTTAATTATCTTATTAATGAGAGTACAGTGAACATTATTAAAAATGTCAAAGCCTCTATACGAAGAAAAAGAAACTTGAAGCGCTTTCCTCACCACTTGTGGTCCAGTATCCATTTCTTTTGCTTAAAAGATGAATGATGTACATCCACATGGAGACTCTCTATAGCAAGGATTTTAGCTTACATAGCTTATATGTGGTACAAAATGCAGATGGCCTAACAACTGATCACTTGATTTATTATGTGGTAATGCCCATGTTATGCTATGAGCACTGATGCCAGCCTCAGAGCACCATAATTGATACTTGGTTCTAGCTTTATTCCTGAGTTCCGATGTACTGCAGAATTTTAAAAGTAGCCAAAAAATAAGACCATTGTGACATTGATTTGACACAAGTCATGCATCTAGTCAGTTCTAGCAAGGTTGTCAAGCTCCAAAAGTCTTTTTCTCCTTTTCTCATTTTCGTTACTGTTGTTTGTTGTGTTTTGCTTTTTGTTTATCGGTTTTCCTACCCTCTGACGCAGTGCCAAAATATACCCTTTCATGTGGACAACAGCTTTATTATGACTTTGAAGGATATCTAGAGAGCTAGCTTCATAAATAATTGCTTGAGGACCCCAGGAGGCAAAATGTATTGTAGTATCTCACGTTAAACAAAGAAAATAAGAAAAATCACCACAACCTTCCCTCCTCTGGAAATCAGTCTGTCGAGCAGTCAGTCGATCTCTTTCTCACGTGCTGGCTGTGCACACAGATACACACTCACAAACATGCTAACAAAGCACATTGATTTTTTTTCTCAAGTGTCCTACTAAAGCTGTGATTCAAATGGTTGTGGTTTGACTCATTGGGTAAATGATAAAAAGAAATTAGAATCATATAATCATTTTTCAGAAAAATGTGTTAAATGATCAAACAAATAGCCCTTTGGGTTGACCCAGGCTGAACAGCGTTCCATGCATTTTCCATAAAGTGTTTTGGCTCCGTGCCGCCCTGATCTCCTGCTTCATGAAACAAAAGGTTTAGAATTACCTTGAAAGCTCTGAGTAATCCTCCCAAAAACAAAGTCTAGGCCTCCCATTACTCTGAATGGAACCATACGTTGCCCCTGGCCAATTAAACTTTGTAGTCATTGCCTGGATTTAGGCTCCACCCCTGTTTCTTCCCCTGAATTTCTTGCTATGAATCTACCTTAATCTGGGGTGGTGGTAGAGAACTGTATTGGTTTGACTTCAAAAAAAGACTAAATGGTTCAGTTACATAACTGATTGGTTTTAGGGAAAGCATTGCTGATTGAGACAATGCTCTGGATTTCTTTTTTGCCATTTCCCATGGATAGCTAGGAACTTTGTGTGTGTGCGCGCTCATGCATGCCTGGGTAGATAATTTGAGTTTCACGAGTTGAAGAACAGCCAGCTTAAGTTCCAGGTTTCATTATTTTCTGTGGAAAACCAGATGTGAAGCTTCACCACAATGCATTCTGTTTCACTTCTCACTCCACCTTGCCAGGAGTTTTTATATTTCTGTAATAATAGCCAGGGTTTTTGCGCTTCGCAGCAGCTGCTGGTAACATCTGCCAGATAATTACGGAGCTGAATCAGAATTCACCTGCCTTAACCTAAAGTGTGGGATGAATTCATGATCAAGGGATAAAAGAGTGATTGCAGTTACATTTTTCCGTGCTTGTTAATAATCACTGCTATAGACACCAGCAAAGAGCAGATGCTTTTCTGGGGGAGGTGTAGCTGGGAGGGAGGTGGAAAGGGGAGAAAAACAACCAGGAGCACCCACTTTTAACTACATATGTATGCATCTCACATTCAGCACAAGACATTGACATGTGTTAACACCATTGTAAAAAGATGCCGCGGCGTATGCTTCCCATTCTAGATTCTCTGCAGCACCTGCTGATGACCGAGCCCCCTTTCATGTGTGAGTATCGGTGATTCAAAAGCTCATTATGTCTGTGTGTTACAACTTGTCTGTGAAAACCATTTCATGCTTTTGTAACGTCCCAATGCTGGGATGGATCCAGATAGAAATTCAGTGTATACATTTTGGCTTTTTTTTTTTTTTCTCTTCATTTATAGAAGAATATAAATTCCAACAGAGCCATGCGATTGTTACATTTTCGCATGGCCATGATGATGGTGCACTCACTTGAAAATCATATTTTCCAACTACTAAGCTTTTAAGCTCCTTTGTCAGGGAATGATCCCGTCTGCATGTGCAGGCAGTCTCTGGATTAAAAGCCGTGTCACATTTTGGCATCACTAATAATATTTTTTTTTCTTTTACTCCATGTGTAACCAGAGGTTAGTTTACGTTTAAGAATTTTTAGCATAACCCTCAAACAAGCAGTTGCAGTGTGTTTATACCGTCCATCATTTAGTTTTGGTGTTCTTTGTTGACGATTTGGGGGGTTTGTGTGTCCGTATTGCTCTGCATGTGCTGTTGCATTGTGGGATGCTTGTTCTGGTGGCCTCGTTGCCTGTACTGGGCTACATATGATGAAAGCTGCCTTCTCTCCCCCTTCTCACTGTTATCTAAAATATTAGAAAAATATCTATAAATATCCCCCTCCCTTACCCTTTGGCAAAAGGAAAACCAACTTTGAACAGATATAGAGGAAAATTCATTTCAGCATTGTTTGGGATAGAAACATCTTTTCCTTCTTAAACCAGTTTAAAAAATTAAATACTTTGAACTGATTATTATTATTTTCACTACTGTGTTCTAGCTCCCACCCCCCCTTCCTGACTTTTTTCCTTAAGGTTTTATTTATTGTTATTGAATCTTCAGAAAGAATACTAGTTTTCTTGGATGGGATTTTTAGGTTTTGGGTTTTATGTTTATCTTTATTTTTCTTTGTGTAAAATAGTCTAACCTTCTTTCCCAAAAGGTTATATATTTATGAAAGATATAATGTGTTATATCTCTTTGACTCATTATTTTTGAAAGGATAAATGTAAAATTTATATTGCATATATTTTTAATACCATAATGTAGTGCAGATGTTTTTATAGATGAATAAATTAAGTAGGGTCAGAATTAGAATGCAACTCTCTTACCCAGCCTAGTCCTAAATCTACTGAACTGTGTTTTCTGCTTCATTTTTTGATCCTCAAGGAAAAAGTGTCATGAAGAAGCGATTCCCAAGGGTCCACAGATTTTGTCATGTTAATCAGGTGTGATGAGGCTAGCTGATGCCCTTAGAACACTGCCTTGCATTTGTGTTATGCTTCTCAGCTTACAGTTGCCTCATAAAAAGTGATGTCCTTTTTGTGATTGAGTATATGACAATTCGGCTGTGGTGATTTACTTTACCCTTCCATCACTTTTCTGATGAGCAAAAGAACTATGTCTTCTGACTCCAAATCTAAGTGACCTCACAGAGTGAATGCTTTTTATGGAATAACCAATATATCTGAAATGATATATCCTCCTCAGTAAATTATGATATTGGTATAATTCTTGTTTTATTATAAAAGGCAATCCTTTTATCCTTGCACTCCACTGCTAAGGTTTTAATACTTACCGTATTTATGGGTAAGTTATGGATAGCTGTTTTAATAGTATTCATGATTTTTACATTGTGCACTTTTATATATACTTTTTTTTCAGTTGTACAAACATGCCGAACAGGCTTCAAATGCAGTATTTCTTTTGCCTTACTATTCATTAATTTGAGGATCTTGGGGCAACCTACTTAAGCAAGTGTATCAACTGTAAACCCTTATAGGACAACAGTGAACTTGAATTTTCAAATGCCCTTTTCTACACCTTACAGTTGTAGTCAGCATCTGACTCAGTTCCTTAATATTTGGCATTCAGCCAGTACATGTTAAATTAGTAAATAACCATTCAAGTGTAAATACTAGGCTTTCCTATGAAACTAAAATTAACTTATAAGAAGTTGCCATGAAATAGTAAGAGTCTTTCCATAAACTTATAATGACTTGATTTCAGACCTGAGAGTTCATAATTTAATAGAGCTAACCTATAATTATTAATAATGATTGTTAATATCCATAATTGATTATGTATTATGGAAGAATGTAAAGTTATTTGTAATACCCAGTGTTTTAAATAGCATACAAATAATCTGTTTCTGCTAAGGAAATTAAAGAGTCTTTGGATAAAATTAATGTCATTACTGACAGTTATTGTCTGAAGGATTTAGATTTCTTTCTAATTTCAAAAAGTTGTTTTAGTCTTCTCATTTGGAAATATTAATAATCCTGTTTTCCTCCCCCATATGATTATTGGTAAATACATAATTTATCAGCAGCATTTTAAATTTTAATTTCTGTTATTCTTACCTATAGGATTCTTTATCCTTTTGAAGTTTGGATTCTCTGCAGAGTAAGCTGATGAAAGGAGTTGTGTGAAAAAATAGGGATGAAGAGACAATATAATTTTATTTCTATATTTTGGAAGCGTTTCCTAACAGTGAGCCAAAACTTTACTTCCCTTTGCTTTCATGGATTATCTTCTGTTCCAGAATTACTTACGTGCCTGCGGAACATTTGGAAGAGTTCAGAATAAGCTTGGGACAACAATCTGGAGGAATTATGGCACTGGATATTTTTTCTTCATACACTGGCAGGTAAGTGAAACAGTAAATCTACAATAAATGAATGATACAGCAGGGTATAAAATAGTTTTGAATTCAGAGCCAGAAGGACTCACAGTGAGAGAGATTGAATTCCTGTCTCTCTTTCAACATTACAAAAATATCTCCTTTTCCTCCTCTTATAGGTAATTATTATATAGTGTGGAAAATTTGGAAAATATGTGAAAGTTCAAATCAAGAAATTAAAATTATGTCTAATTATACCACTAAAGATAGCACTTGCAACATATTGAGTTTGGACAATTCACCCCAGGTCTGAATATTATTCCATCAATTCCCTGGAACCTACAATTTGTATAATATTTTATCATGCTTTTTCCTCTTTTGTAAGTATTTTCAAACATCTTCAGAAATTTTATTTATTTCTTTTTTAACATACATACAGATAGAGTAACACTTTTAATGGTTATTTTTTACTCTTTTAAAGATTGTTGAGCTGAGCATCTTGGTATATATGCATGTTAGCAAACAGAATGTATGGCTTTTTTAAAGGCTCTTGATATACAATGTATTAAGAACCTTTAAGTAATACAGGAAAAAGTTTTTGTTTTCTTCCTTAGGGAAAGCAGGAACCTAGTTTTGCTGCTGCTGCTGACTGAGTTCAGCAGGGGAGGGGAATAACGTTAAATTGCTTTCCATAAAGGAGGTAACGTTTTACACTCTTAGCTGTGGACCTGTTTTTTCCAGTTGCGTTGGCAACTGAGTACCAGATTTCTCTTTAAGCAGGCTGCAGAGCAGAAATGGCTCTGCAAACATTCTGAGGTCTTCTCAGAAGAGTTCTACCATTCCTCAGAAAATGCCGGAACATCCCGGAACACTTTGATGTCCACTGATTCTACAGGCATCACAACATGACATTGTTTCCTCTGCAGGTTGCACATGGCCACAGTAATACAGAAAGTGCCAGGGAAGGAAAAACTATGTTATGTGTTTAGTAAAGTCAAGAAATGTCATGGCCCTTGGACCCTCGTGAATTTTATGGGAAAAAGAGTATTCACTCTATCCTGTACAAAGCTCTCAAGCACACTCCACTCTAGAATATCCATCTCAGGGTTAATCACATGAATTGATTATAGCTTTTTGATGATTTCTGTCAGAATGGTAAAAGTAGTCATATCAATTCCCTCTGAAATATAATTTCAAATGGCTTAATTAAAGACTATGCCAAGGTAATATCATATTTGTTTTAAGCTCTGAGGCCTTAAATGCACTCAAAATGTATTAGAAAGAGCCACTTTTAGCACTGTGCCTTCACCTCAACACAGAAAGGAGAATGGCCTTGACTGTGCAGTGCTGTGAAAAGCGGCTTCACGGCAGAGAAAGTATGTTTGCTATTAATTTAAAGGTGCTGAAACCAAAATAAAATGATCTGCATTTTACAGAGGAGGACTCTGCACCAGAGAGAGGTTAAGTAACTTGCCCAAATTCCATAGTTAATAACTGGCAGAGCCGAGATCAGAATGTAAGCAGTCAGACTCCTTGTTTTAACCGCTGGATCCAAAGAAAGAATTGCACAAGCTCAGGATAAAAATATGGGCAGCATAGCATGGAGGTTAAGAGCTCAGGTTTTGTAGTAAAATGGCCTCAATTAAAACCTCACTTCTGCTTTACGATGTGAACTTGTGCCAATTTCTGGCACTTAAATGTAGATGAAAAGGAAGTTATTATAGTTGACAGAAATTTCATTGGTATTGAGCAAACATGGATGCAAAGAAGTCGAATTCATTTTTGGCTGGGTGAATACAGGAGGAGAGAATGGGTTCCTTCTGCTCTTTGGAACGCTTGACACTTGAGTCCCGTAAACCGCACTCTAAGATGGATACAGAATAATAAGCACATTTATAGGAGCATATTTAGTGAAAGGCTTCAAGATTAAAGAATCATTTGAAGAGAATGGTGTTTTTGTATCAAAGGATTCAGGATATAGGCCTTCTTATAGCTTAAGGGGCATGAACATAGGATGCACTATGTCTGAGAGTATTTCTGAATAGCTCCCATAGCTTTGACTTCAGGGCTAGGAAGCTCCCCACACACCCATGGCTGTCACTGAATATTTTAGGGCTTCTTTCTGTTCTTTTCTATCTGCCATACCTGCTTTTTCTATCATATTCTCTCCAGTTGTATTTCCAGAGGGTTGGGAGAAGAGGTCACGTTTCCGCCGCATATCTTCCGGATGACAGCTTCGCTCAGACTGTCTAGTTCTCAGTCAGCTTCTTAACATCTTTTTTTCAACCCCCGCTTTTGTGAATCCATTCCCAACAGCCCTGCCCCACTGTCAGGCCTGGCTGTCAGCACACCAGCCTCATGCACAGCCTTGCACAGGAGGAGAATTCAAACACACAACCAATGGGCAGGACCTGTAGGCAGGTAGATTTCCTTTTAACAGTTCAGCACAAATTTGTGACATCTATGACTTTTTTCATCTGACTTATTTCATTTGGGATGATATCCTCAAGATCCATCCATGTGGTCGCAAATGGCAGTATTTCAACTTTTCTTATGGCCGAGTAGTATTCCATTATGTATGTACCACCGCGTGATTTCACTCATATGTGGAATATAAAATTAAAAGCAACAAACGAACAAACAAGACAAATAAACAAAAACTCAGAGGCACAGACAACAGTATGGTGGTTACCAGAGGGTAAGGGGAGCGAAGGGAAGGTAGAAAAGGATAAAGGGATTCCAATATATGGTAAAGGAAGGAGAGTTGACTTTGAGTTGTGAACACACAATGCATTATAAAGATGATGTATTATAGCATTGTACATTTGAAACCTATATAATTTTATTAACCAATGTCACCACAGTAAATTTAATAAAAAAAATTTTAAAAACCTAACATTCAGGTCAGAAAAAGAATGAGATGTTCAAAGAGACCCTGGACATTTACTTGTCAGAAATGGTTTGAAACACATTTCAACAGAGATGGGTTCTTGGATTAAAGACTTCTGATTTCAAAGTCTAAAGATTGTATAATTTGACAGAGTTCAGTATTCCTGGCAATGGAGAATGGAGAAAATTTGACCATATACTTTCTTTAGATTTTTCAATTTCTATAAAAATAAACATTATTTTTGAATCAGAATTTTTATAGCCTTCTCTACTTTCAAATGAATGTGTGAACATTTTTTTTTAAATCCAGTTTTTGCTAATAGCATAAGGACAGCCCATAATTGATTTAACCATTCTCTGTTGCTCTTATATGTTACTTGTCTGGACACATTTTGCTATATGCCTGACATTTTGCAAAATCGGAACTCCTATAGAAATTGAAACGTGACCTTGAACCGAGGTGCATTGTAAACTGCTTCCTATAGGTAATGTCCTGTGTCTGGCCCCTCCTAATGAGCTGAAGCTGGCCCCCCGGTATTTCCATCTTTCTTCATAAGTTTTCAGGAAAGAATTGCTCCATCCTTAGGGAGCAGAGATGCTAAACTCCTGGCATATACCTTATGATAAGTTCATTTAGGGCAGAGATCAGTCAGGGCTGTGCAAGCTTTTACCACACATGATGCTTCTACCTTCTTGCACGTGGTAGGTATTTAAGAAATACTTATGGAATAGTTTTTCTTTAAAATTCTGGTACTTACCCCTTCTTCTCATTTCATTCCTTCATTCTCTCATGTTTCACCAGAAAAGACAAGATACGACTCTTATTGTTCAGTTGTGTCGTCAGACTAAGTTATGGTAGAATGACTCTGATGTAAGGTTTTTATTTTGTCTGACCAGGTTTTCTTTTCCCCTTCATCTACAATGTTATATATTTATTGGTCAAGTATGGTGAAAATATAAAGCAGTCTGCCTTTTTAGCCAATCCAATAATAAAGTTTACATAAGACAATGTTGTCTGGTTTTACTAGGATGTTGGGGTTTTCATTGTGTAACTCTTTAACAGAGACATTCCAGAATTACCTGAGCGAGAAGAAGGGGAAGGAGAAGAAAGTGAACTTCAGAATGCAGCATACAGCAATTGGAATCAGCCCAGGCGGTAAGGACTGCTTCAGTCTCCTGCCTCCTCAGCGTTTACAGATAAGGAGGGTGGTTTCAAGCACAAGCTACAGCTTGCTACTGTGGCATTGGGCAAGCTGTTTAATATTCCCTTACCCTCCATTTCTCCATGTGTATAGAGGAGAAGATAATGTGTATCATACAGGGTTAAAACTAACGTGTGCAAGGATTTGGCATGTACTAGGAACTAAATAAAATTAACTTGAGAAAATTATGCGTAGGTAGTTGGAACGGGTACTATTTTCTGAAGGGTTTAATCTTAGGTAAACAGTCAAATACTAATTTAAATTTCTCTGAAATTTGTAGACACTGTATATTCAAACATAGATATTCAAAACGTGTGTGTGTGTGTGTGTGCACATACACATTAGTAAGCATCTTGTTATCACAGACTGCCATTAATCTAACCCATGCTCTGTCTAGAACCAATTTCATATGTAATAGAAAAGATGACTTTCCTAAATATGCTCAGATCTATCACTGTGCATCACTAAGGCATATTTCTGTGTTAATGTTAAGTAAAATCAACTTCAGTTTAATAGATATTTGAGTCCTGATTATGGACCCCGACAAGAGGGAGATGATTTTGTGAATAACAGAGAAGTATAAGACATAAATCTGCCATTCTAGGAAACTGTAATGTACTTGGGTAGGCAGTATTAGAGACACAAAATAAAGAAAAATATAAGCTATTTTGCATTAAGTGTAAAATGTAAGTAATCATTGGGCATTTCCTCACCCGATCTAAAGGTGACCACCATAGTTGTGCCTTGCACTTAGTAAATGCTTAATATTTATTGTACAGTGAATAAATGCTCAAGAGAGAATAATTTCTATTCTTCAGAGTTATAAGACAGTTTGATGATTTTCCTTGCTCACAAATGAGCTTGAGGCAGCACCCATCACATTTAAACATTTTCTAGGTTGAGTCATACTCAAAGTATAGAAAAGTTTTTATGTTGCTTCCAAAACAAAACAAAACAAAACAAAAACACAGTAGTAATTTCCAGCCATCTAAACGGAAAGGGGGGTCAAATATATAGAGATGGAAGGGGTACTGACTATGGGTGGTGAACACACAATGTGCTGTACAGATGATGTATATAGAAATGTATGCTTGAGATTTGTATAATTTTCCTAAACAATGTCACCCCAATAAATTTAATAAACATTTTAAAAAAGTTACTGAACTAAATAAAAACTAAGCAAAATAAGTAACTAGAATAACTTTTTTACTTGAATTCTTTAAAAAGCTGTTTAGCCTGCTTAAAGAAATCAAAGTGTCTCCACATTATGACCCATATTCAGAACAGAAGATAAGTGCGAGATCTATGGCAGAAATATAAAACGTTATAGTTCTTATTTTTTTGAGGATGGAAGCAAAAATAAGTTTGATGAAATTATTTTGTAGCTGGTAACCATAGTGATAAGCTTGAATTTTGTTGGAGAATAGTCATCACAGGAAAAGAAATAGTTTGGCCAGTTTCAATAACATTGTGGGAAGAAAAGTAATTTTTAGAAGGCACTATGTTTGAAGTCAATAAGAGCCATATTTGAATTCTAACTTTGATACTTTCCTAAGACAAGTTTGTTCATCTCTGATAAGCCCCAGTGACTTCATCTGTAAAATGGGATTACTAATAGAATTTTTTAAATGTGGGAGAGAATTTGGTGTGATAATGCATGTAAAATTATTTACCTTGTGCCTGGTCCAGAGTGAGCCTTCAGTTGGTGGTCAGCATTGTCAGTCATCATCATCGTCACTAACAACTAAGCACATAGAAAGGACTGCACACAGAAATCATTATGCAATTGTCTTATGAGAAGGAATTCAGTGTAATTCATGGAATGGAAGATTTTTGTATATTTATCCTAAATTTTAACTTGCATATCACCCTAAGAGATGTCTCTAAATGTGGTAACTACCTTATAGAGAGACTATGTCTGGTGCTTCCATAAGTCTTAAAGAAGGCGCTCTGCAAACTTCTACACAGAAGTACTAAGAGACTGGGGGAACGTTCTTAGAGCATGATGCTCATAGATTATTATGAGGAAACTTACCAAAATAACTAGAACATGAGGAACAAGTGTTATGAATGTGCTTTGTAACAGTGGACATTCATTCTTACAGTCAAAACATTTTGCTTTGTGTGCAAGTTGAGGATACTTTTTAGCAAAGTGTACATTTTTAAATTATAAATAAGCTGTGTTACTCTTTTGTTTTGCACTGTGATCTTCATTTACAGAATTGGCATCATTATGTATCATTTTCCAGCTTTCTTTTCTCTAATCTAATGTTTTGGAGATCTATCATGCTGATACTTAAAGACCTAATTCAATCAATGTAGTTGTTGTAGTGCATTTCAGTATATAAATATACCACAGTTTATTCCCAGGTTGATATTGAACAGTTAATAGTTATTCACTAGTATAAGAATTCTGTGCAGTAAATATATTGATTTCCTTATGCTTATATATGAGAATTCATCTAGGTATATACCTAAAAGTGGAATTGCTGGCTCATAGATTGAAATGGATTATTTATTTTATTAGAGCTTGTTAACTTGCTTCATAAGGTGAACATACCATTTTTTCCTTCTTTTTCCAATATATGAGAGTTCCCTTTCCCCCGTATCCTGGTTACCCCATCATATGATCATTTTTTAAAAAGGTTTTTGTCAGTCTGATGGTAGAAAATGGCACCTTGTCTTAATAAACAGTGTGTAGGTATAACAGGATTCAGGTAGTAGGGTTCAAATTTGCTCATTTGTCATATGGATTTAATTTTATATCTTCCTTAATTACATGACTTCAGTAATCATAGTTGTCATAATAAGAGTAATAAAAGATGTATTGGTTGTCTACTATGTTCCAAAGCTTTGTTTTTCACTTTACATGTATTCATCACAGCAACTCTCAGACATAGAGACTTTTGTTGGCTCCATTTGGCAGATGAGGAAAGTAAGAAGCTAAATAAGTTGGAGATGGTCACACCGTTAAGTAGCAAAAGAGCAGGACCTGAACCCAAGGACTCTCTGTTCAGAGCTCAGGCAGCCTTTTCTGAATTTCATTCTTTTTAAATCGATGGATAGGTCTCAAGAAAGGCTGCCATTTTTGCATAAAACTGACTCCGAATAGGTTCTATAAAGTTTTTCTTTTAAAGGTCTCCTTTTTCTTTCCACGCAACATTTACTGTATTCCGTTCAGTGAATACTGAGTCTGGTTCCTTCCTCAGCACTGTGGTCATTTGGGCAGCCTGTCCTTGGTTATCGTCTCCAAAGTTTTAAGCAGTTACAGCCTTTCCTCTAGGGAGTGTATTTGAAAACACTTCGCTATTTGTGCCAGACCCTGTGTGAGCATGTGGTTCCATTATGCAAAGGTTGTTTAACCCCTCTGTGCCTCGTCCCTTCTTTGTAAAATGGGGCTAATAATAGTATCCTCTTCATAGAGATGATATGGGAATTAAATGAAAGTACATGGTACTCAGGGAATAATACTAAGCACATGAGAAGCCCTTAATAAGTGTTTGCTGCTGCTTTTATTTTTATTATTAAAGAAATTAAAAGAATCTCTGTTTTTTTCCTTCTTCCTTCCTATGATTTTCTTTTTTAAAATTTTTCTTTTCTTTTTCAATTACAGTTGACATTCAATATTATGTTAATTTCAGGTATACAGAATAGTGGTTACATACATTTATATAACTTATTAAGTGATCCCCCAAATAACTCTTGCACCCTACCTGACACTATTGTAGTTATTACAGTGTTATTCCTTGTGCTATACTTTACCATCCCTATGACTATTTTGTAACTGCCAATTTTTACTTTTTAATCGCTTCACTTCTTCACCTAGCCCCCAACCCCTCTCCCATCTAGCTACTGTCAGTTTGTTCTCTGTATCTATGAGTCTGTTTCTGTTTTGTTTGTTCATTTATTTTGTTCTTCAGATTCCACATATAAGTGAGATCACACAGTATTTGTCTTTCTCAGTCTGACTTATTTCACTCAGCATAATAACCTCTAGATCCATCCATGTTATCGCAAATGGTAAGGTTTCGTTCTTTTTTGTGGCCAAGTAATATTCCATTGTATATATGTACCATTCCTCTTTATTCAGTTGTCTATTGAAGGACACTTAGTTTGCTGCCACATCTTGGCTGTTGTGAATAATGCTGCAGTGAACATAGGGATGCGTGTGTCTTTTGAATTAGTATTTTGAATCACTTTTTAATTTACACCGACCACAAAGAACCCCAGGAGACATTTTAATTCATTCTTGTTTTATTTTATTTTTTCCCTTTTTAAGAGAAGAGTTAAGGAGTCTCACCCATGTATTCTGGATTCTTAAATATTAAATACAATGACTAACTTGACTAACTTCTTTACTTTGCCATTTTACCTTAGGAACTGCTTTAAAAAACAAGAAAGGCTGTTGGGTTTTGTCATTCGCAGAATTCCTAGAGGGAAAGAAAATGATTAATAGGATTTTAAGTAGTTTAAACTATTTACACAAATTTTATGAGATCAAAGATCATAGTGAGGTCCTTTTAAACAAAACAGGTAGAGTCTCTAGGATGATAGATTTCTAATAAAGGAAAAAAAGTGCTGTCCAAAGAAAAGATGTGTCTCATCATCTGACTCTTATCTGACCAATTGCCTGTCATCTCTATCTACCTACTCTTTTATTCACAGCATTTTCTTATTGGGCCCTCCCTCATTTCACAGGGGTCCTCACTTCAACCTTTCCTCTCCTCTGGGAGTACCGGTCACATCAAGGTTGAGGGCATGTTTGGACTATACTTTCATTTTCCATTTAATGTCAAACGCTGTCTTTCTTCCTGCAGCCTGGAGCAGATTGCAGACTCGCTATCTTATCTTAGAGCTCTCTGCTTGGTATCTCCCTTTTCTTCCAATACCCTGAGCTGTTGACTCACCTTAGCCAAATACCTCACTGCCAGTCACCTTGTTTTTGTATCCCAACCTTCTCACAGGACATGTACTTTGATTTCATTCATAGTTCAGTTATTATTATATATGTGAATTCATGTGTTTATTGTGCGGGTAGGAGAATTGCATTCAAGACAGAGGATGGAGCATGTCTGTTGAACTTTAGGAACAGCGTGAAAGATGATGTGATGGCTGGAGTGGAGAGAGGCAAGCAGAGAACCATGGGAGAAGCTTTTCTGGAGATGGTGGTGGGATTAGATCACGTAGGATCTTGTCAGCCACTGCTCTTCATTGCCCCGACTGTTAGCTCCCAGATCGACCTTGGGAAGCGGGAGTCCTGCAGACATAAGCTACCAGCATAGCATGTGCAGCGATGTTCTTTCGCCAGATTGTGTTGCTAAGCTTAGAACTGTCAGTTCTGGGGTAGCTGAACTTCTGGATTTCTTAATGTCTGCACTGCTAGAGCTCCTGAAGAATGGCACTTTTAGATTGGTCTGTGCCCTGGCCAGAAGTGTGAGTTCATTATTTATTTTTAACAAAGCTTCAGAAATACATTAGTATTATCAGACCCTATGAAACATCATTGGAAAAGTATTTAAAACTATCTTGTTTTACAACTGTAAAAATTTAATAAATTGAGCAAATAGTATTTGCAAAAATGAACATATAAAGATATTTTATTCCATTGAATTTAAAAATATTTTTAATCATTGGGACCATTTTTAAGTGTGCAGATCAGTCACATGAAATACGTTCACATTGCTATTTAACCATCCTCCTCCCTATCTCCTAGCAATCATCATTCTACTTTCTGTCTCTATGAATATGATTATTCCAGGTACATCGTATAGGTGAAATCATATAGTATTTGTCCTATATTTCACTTAGCTGGCTTATTTCACTTTGCATAATGTTCTTTTTTAAGGCTGAAGACTATTCCATAATATTCCATTATCTGCAGATGGACACTTGTTTGCGTCTACATTTTGGTTATGGTGAATAATATAATATTTATATGAATATGGCAGTGCAGATATCTCTTCAAGACCATGCTTTCAATTCCTTTGGGTCTATACCCAGAAATGGAATTGGTGGATCATATGGTGATTATATTTTTAATTTTTTTAGGAACTTCCATATTTTTTCCATAGCGGCTGCATTTTACATTGCTGTCAGCAGTGCACAAGGGTTCAGACTTCACGATTTTTCTGATTTCTCCTTGCCACCACTTATTTTCTGTTTTTTGTTTGTTTGTTTTTTGATAGCGGCTATCGTAATGGGTGTGAGGTGATACCTCATTGTGGTTCTGATTTGTATTTCCCTAATGATTAGTGGTGTTGAGCATCCTTTTCATGTGGTTATGGGCCATTTGTGTATCTTCTTTAGAGAAATGTCTATTTAAGTCCTTTGCCCTTTTTAAAACAGGTTGTTTTATTTTTTGTTGGTGAGTTTTAGGGGTTCTTGCTATATTCCAGATGTTAATCCCTTATCAGATATGTAATTTGCAAATATTTTCTCCCATTCTGTGGGTTGCAATTTTATTCTGCTGATAGCATTTTTTGATGAATAAAAGTTTTTACTTTGTTGAAGTTCAGTTTGGTTATGTTGTTGTTTTTGTCTGTGCTTTTGGTATCAAATTGAAAAAATTATTGCCAAATCCAGTGTCATGAGCTTTTCCCTTATGTTTTCATATAAGAGTTTAACATTTTATTTATTTTTTATAGGGTTGAACTTTGGAGAGAACCAAGCAAATCCTTGGGCATCAGCATTGTTGGTGGACGAGGGATGGGCAGTCGTCTGAGCAATGGTGAAGTGATGAGGGGCATTTTCATCAAACATGTTCTTGAAGATAGTCCTGCTGGCAAAAATGGAACCTTGAAACCTGGAGATAGAATAGTAGAGGTACCCTCCAGTGAGCTTTCTGTAAAATTCTTTACCTGTTCTGTAAACTTTACCAAGGGAATCATCAAATTGACACTGGTTACTCAACCCAGCATTAGAGTAAAATGTGTTTGTGGTTAAAGCATTTCTTTCTTATTTGTTTCTATTCATCTATAATTGTTCTCTTTGATATATGGTGACGAGTTACATCTCTTGATATATCTGGAGACTGATGTTTGAAGGTATAACCAACCATTTTTAAAAACATTGACCCTGAGATAAAATAATTAAGTTCTGGTTAAAAAAACAAAGCAAATTTCTCAGGGAAATAATTGAATTCTTTGAAAGTATATATACACGTAAAATATATACATCAAAATTAAGTTCTCCAATGAGGTTTTATTTCAAGAAATACTTTATCATTATCATTTCATTGTAAACTTTGTTGGATGAGATTTTTTTCAAAGTGAAACTTTTTGTAAAACCTTTGATGCTAAGATCCTGATTTCTTTTTTATACAAATGCCCCCACCCCCAGCTTGGATTTCCTCCATCTCAGTGTTGTGTCCATTCATCACTGAGGGGGTGTGTGTGTGTGTATACACCTGAACATGTGTACACATATATGTGTATTTCGTTATATACAAGAGAGAAGCGTTTGGTCAAATTGTGCCTAATTCCTTAATTCACATCAAACTTTAATATTTTAAATAGACTTCTCTCATGAGGCACTCACTCATTTACTTAACAAATATTCCTGGAACAGCTGTTGCATTCCAGGTGCTATCACAGGCTCTAAGCATCCCTCAGTAAACAAGGCACCGTGCCTGCCTGTCAAGTTGCACAAACTTGACAAGTAATTGAGTCATTTCAGAGCAGTGTCATAAATGATTTGATCAGGATAAGCATAGTTTCAGTTAAGAAGGTAGAGGAAGGGGTTCCTGACCCAGATTTGCTGAGTTGTCAGGATTTATAGAGTAGATTGAAAGAGGCAACTTCCGAATGGAAACCAATGGCTTTATGAGTATAGTGGCCATTATATTTACTTTGCACAAGTGATTGTCTCTCATTTTCTAAATCCATATAACTTACATATATTAAAATGCTTAATTGTGTAGAAGAAGGTTATAACTTAATAACAATTTTAAAATAAGCATTTTGGGGACTATTTTCTTACTCCTTTATTGACTGATTGTTACTGAGAACTGAAGAAGGAAGAACACTGGGACTTCAGAGAAAGCAAGGACTGTGTATTTATGTTTTCTCTGACCATTTATAAGGAAGACTGATGGACTTTTTCTCTCTTCCTGCAGTGTTACCTTTCATTAGATGAAATCTCAGCCCCTTTTTAAAGTACAATTTTTTTAGTTAGAATACTTCTTAAAATTTCCATTTTTAGATTATCACACGGCATTTTATTTTATGGATACTTCACTATTAAATACTCTTGACCTAAGTAGAGAAAGTAAGAAATATTTATAATTATTCCTAGAAAGGATTCATCATAGTTTGCACCAAAATGTATAAATGTATTAAGAATGTTAAAACACCCCTTCCAAATTGAAAAGGATTCTTTTGTGTTGTAAAATACTGTTTGTTGTTTAGCAGTCGTTTGCTGAGTGCTGTTACGTGCAGGGGTTTTTCTCATAAATATAAAAGCCTTAGACCTCTAATCCTGGGGATTCCAAAACATGTCTCTGCTAAGAGTCTCTGAAAATGTGTGTAAACTAGATGAGTAGAGACTTGCAAATGATTTCATTAAAATTACCCACTAATGGAATATCTAGTAAACATGAATACTAACTTTTGTTCTACAAAAAGTTAGAAACCTTTTTTAATGTGTACTGAAAGAGATGTTATGTCATCTAAGTATCAACCTGAGGGAGGCTTTTCAATTAAACATATATAATTATTTTAAAGGTGATAATGTTCTATGCAGAGATCTAATCATTTTCTTTTCCAGAATTGTGTCCACTCTGATTTTACTATTTTGCTATATATGCCATATTGTGGTAATTGGAAATGATAATAGTATCCTGTGGTTTTCTGACAGGATTAGCATTTGGCCTCTACAACTATTTTCCTTCCTATTCATATAGTGCATAAACTGAGCTAATCATCACCCAGGCCAGCCATGGTCAATAAAAGGTCACAAAATAACTTTCATTTCTAAGCTAGTTATATAAAAATTACTAACAAATGAGCACAATTTCTTGACTTGCAGCTCCTGTCATGCCTACTCCAAAGATTCTTTTGCCAAACTAACCTCACCATAACCTGATATTTCTGAACGTAAGAATTTTGTTTTTAACGTCATGCTTCCTTGTGTAGAGAGAAATACACAAAGCATCACCCACCCACTTCCCAAGTCACTCCATAGTGAACTGGAGAAAAAAATTGTACAGTGACTTTCGTGATGAAGACGGGGCTACTAGGCAGTTCCCTTGTTTTGTTACTTTAATGATGCTGACTTATTAAAGGAACGACTGAGTCTGAGGAAAGCAAAAGCGGAGGCTTCATTCTAATTGATTGTTATTTCAGTCGTTGTTGGAGACAGACATCTGTGTCCACAACAAGGGACCACAAGTCTGCTGGACAAATTAAAAGTCTCGGAGCCTCAGAAGTAGTGTCGTTTTTTATTCTGAAACATTTCCCAGGAGCCTCAGAACCGCAGATCCACAAATTGTTCTGTTGTTCTATAGATTCTCGAAATGTTAAGCTGAGGCCTTCCATTGCAGGTGGATGGAATGGACCTCAGAGATGCAAGCCATGAACAAGCTGTGGAAGCCATTCGGAAAGCAGGCAACCCTGTAGTCTTTATGGTACAGAGCATTATAAACAGACCAAGGGTAAGCGAACACAGAGGGCAAGGTAGGCATATCCAAACAGTGTCCAGCTTGGAATCTAATGTGTCGAGGGCCAACTTGTCTCTAGAAGCAAGATCTCGAGTCTTGGAATTGCAGGAGACTTGTTAAAAAGTTTGTTTTGCTTGTTTTGCTTGTTTTTGTTTGTTTGCTTGGTTTTTTTAAATTGAGTTGTTCTGGAAATCCGTTCTACTGTGTTTAGGAAACACTTGAAGTCTGTTGAAAACACCCAGAAGTAGACAGAAGTAGGATTCATTGGTGGCAATGGTATCTAGGTGGAGAACTCTTTATTATTCATTATAGTCACAAAACATGTAAATTGAGAGGAGTGTGGGGTAGCCTTTCAGATTGACCTCTAGTGCACCCCCTTAGAAGTCAGAGATTACATTGTCTTTATAAATTCTCTCGACAGCATTTCCAGCTTATGCAATCCCATGATCACCTGTGAGTGATCTTTAATGTATTTCTCCCACTGAACATTTCAGTGTCTCAGGGTAGGTTTGGTTTTGGCTGTACAGGCTTCTATCCCAGTGATTTCGTAAGTGCTGCTTCTCAGCCCCAGTGGCTGGATAGTCCCTGGTGGACAGAAACCTACTCACTCATTTTATCATCCGTGATCACAGGGAAAACGGTTTTGAAAATGTTTTAGAAAGTATGTGTGCATTTAGGGGATGTTGTTGATGGAGAAGATACTACGTGAGGCTTTGTGTGTTCGATCCAAGTACGCCCTAATGTTGCTGAGCGTGAGAATTATGCCAGGAGTTTTAAACTTTTTTTTTTTCAATTTCTTCTTTATTGCTCAATAAAAAAAAATAATAAATAAAATATCTTTTTAATGTGTAGCAGTTCTTAAATATATTTGGACCACATACCCCTTTGAAAGTTCTTCAGAAACATATGCATTCACTGAAAAGTTTGCATACCATTCGAGGAGTTTTCGAGATGTCCTAAAGCTTAGAGAGAGGCTCACTTCTGGATTTAAGTGAAGAACCCCTGGCACACTGATTCTCTTTGAAATACCTGCTTATTAGCTCTGAGGGTTGGTTGTCTTTAAAGGGAAAATGTCAGCAGATGTGAGGGAAGATCAAAGAATTACCTAAAGCTTACAATATGTAACTTTCTATATAAAATGCATTTAATTTTAATTTTTAAAATTTAGATACCATGCCCAAATGATGGAAAGAAAGTAGCCAGTAGCTCTGTAGATGGGATCAGTAAAAGTAACTTTGTCAGTATTGGGTGCCATGGAATACAAGTGACTAGATTTATCCTATTGGTCCTTCCTTCCTTTTGTTCTCAAGACAGGTGTAGCTCTCCTCTGGGTTTACTATTCATTTAAGAAATGAATTGAGTAGTTCATGCAAGCAGTTACCTTCACATCTGCAGTTTCTAATCGTTCAGTTGTTTATTGTTAGGTAATTATTCATTCAGATGAGAAAATGTGACAAATGTTAGGGCTGCCTCGCACTGCATTCTTTTTAAATGCTATCCAGTTTGTTTAAATAACTATAAATCTTAACTACATTTGTTCCCATTTGTTGTGTTAAACATAGGCACAGCATGACAATGTCAGTAAATGGCTGTTTAAGTTAAGTTAAAGCTATTATTTTGGGTGGGAGTGTTTTATTCCTTTTTTGTTTTATTTTTAATTTCCAACTTTTATAGCATTTAGGACAATACTATAAACTGCTGGATAGGATTCTTAATATTACTTTTTGAAACCTTAAACTACAGATATTTTTTTCAATGCTAGCCACATTTTCTAATGAGCAGGCAAGATGTTTTTTCATGCACCTGGAAAATATTCCTATTATCTGAGGTATAATGATGCCTGATTTTATAGCAATTATTCCAGGATAAATCTTCCTTAGAATGACATGTATCCTTAGGTTATACATGGCAAGGTTCAGGACATGTTACCCCAAAATATGGCACGCTGGCATATTGCATATTTTAAGCTAAAGGAATTTGAGAAAACACAGGTGCTGCAAAGACTCTGACCTCCTCCGTCTCCCCTGAAGTAGGTCTGAAGACCCGCATGTGAGGGGGCACTCCCTACACCTGGAGAAAAGGAGCACTCTTATCTCCAAAGATGGAGGGATGCTGAGAGGAACCTGAATGAACAGGCTTTGCTGAGTTCCCCTCAGTTCACTACACTTGGCTCACTATCTTTTGTCCTATCACATTTTCCAGGACTATCCACTCTTCATCCAATTTAGTATAAAACCACTCAGGTTTAACCATTTCTTCATATTTCCTTATGAAGGCTCTCTGTCATATAAACCTTAAATCAGTATGCATACTTTTCTCTTGTTAATTTGTTTCTTGTTACAGAGATCCAACTGAGAAACTATGACCGGTAGAGGAAATTTATTTTTCCTTCTCTACATGTACATTTTGCTTTGGGAAATTAGAATCCCTTTTTTCATCTAAAATGAGATAAATTTTGTATTCAGTGATTTACTTCCCTATAGAAATAAATCTAGTCTCCCATAATCCAAAGGGGGAAAAAAGTCACAAATACGTAAGAGCCTCTTAACAGTCAGTGTAGTATTTGTGATAAAGCGTTAAGAAAATCTCATACAGAGGCTGGAAAGCCAGTTAGTCTCTATGGCTCTCAGACTTGGAAGAGTCAGTCAGAACTTCCCAGAACTGGTCTTGATAATTCCACCAGTATGAAGCTTCGCAGAATTCCGTTTGACTACAATGCCGTAGTAAAGGGTGGGCTCCATTGATACAGTCAGAGAATGTTTCTGTGCTGCTTCTTGGTTAATAACATTTCTATTTTTATCAGCCTCTGGGACTATAAACAGAAGTTTCGTCATTGATTTTTTAATAAGAAATATAGTCTGTTTCTATAAATCTTTCCTTAATAATAGAGTGATCTATGACTTCATTTGCTGTGCTCATGCTGTACTTTCATACTCTGCTCTCAGGGCCAAATTCTAATCCTATAAGAGCTGCAAATTAAAAAAAGAAAAAAAGACAAAACTAAAAACCAGAGCTCTCTTTAAACACTCCGTTTTTTGCCATTGTTGTCTTGTTTTATATTATTCTACAGAATTATAAAGGAAATACAGAAACCTAAAAATTCCATGTGTCAAGATTAGACATAATCTCTACCTTCCGTAGCATTGAGACATTTTGCCTAGGATATGTTTTCAGTCTCTGCCTCATCATTTCCTCCACCTGAATAAATGGCCACATTCCTTAGCATTTGTGGATCTTCTTTTTTGTAAAGCAGCAGTTGACATTTTAAGTTGAAAAGCAGAGCGAAAGTTGAGATGAGCAGAAATGTCATTGTGCCCATTTCTTTCTTCCCATCTTCCCTCTATAGGAAAAACATTGCAAGAGGAGCAGATTGCAAGGGTACTATGGCATAAGCGTTAGTACAGGCATACTGAGTGAGGATAGAGTTTTTCCAGAGTGCTCTCCCATGCAGGGTGGTGTCACATGACAGACAACCTCTCCCTACTCTTGACGCTTGCCAGTGGGGCTTTTTATATAGAGAGAAGTAACACAAACATTTAACTGGAGCCAAATGAATTTTAAATGTCTGCAATTTCCCCTGAAAGATACAGTCAATAAAAGAAAGATAAGCGGGTATGAAGAGAAGGAGAAAAATTTATTGTGCTAAGGAAATGAGTTTTCTGTTTTTTTCCTTAAATTATGAAAATGGTAAATTCTATCTGGCAGTCATCCTACCTTTAATATGTAGCTCAAAATCCAATAGCACTAGCTCGGTATATCACAGGCAAGCCACAAAACCTATGAGAAACACTCTAAGGCAGGAGGACTTCAGATATTATCCAAAGCCTCATAGAGTCCCCAGTACTGTGGGAACTTGTATAGGAAATTTTAAAAATGTATATCAATGTTCCTGCTTTCACAAAAAGCTGGCAGAAATAGAGCACACCACCATACAGTGGTTCATTTCTTTAAAACTTACTGATCTCATTTTTTAATTAAAAAATGCTATTGATCTTAACCTTAATATCTAGTCAACGTGTGAAAACTTTCCTTCCTGGGAAACTTGATGAAGGACTGAGGGAAGTTACCAGCGAACTAGAGGACAAATGTTTAATTGGCATCCTGGGACAGATACGACTATTTTTTTATTTCAGAAAAAGAATAATTTGGTTTTAAATATACATTAGAAAAACTTTCATGGTTTTAACTTTGAATCGTGTTTACTAATATGCATGGTATATATGTTAATATATAAAGTGGGCAAAATACATATATGTGCCTCTGTGACAGTGAAGACATTCGTTGAAAATAAATTTGGGATCCACTTGACAGACTGGTTTCCTGTATGTTTTGTGACCAGATTTAGATTCCGTTTTAGACTCAGTTCACTGGAATTAAACCTTTAGTTCAATACTGTTTAATAGATGTTGTTAGTTGCCAGATCTGATAAGATCTAATAGATGTTGTTATTAATTACCAGATCTGATAGATCTAGTTTCACAGAGTTGTTTAAAACAGTAAGTACTTTATTCTTAAAATTGAGCTGTTTGGAGTACATTTCTTTGCGCTCAGCGCTTCTTATGTTTCCTTTTAGAAATCCCCTTTGCCTTCCTTGCCGCACAACCTTTACCCTAAGTACAACTTCAGCAGCACTAACCCATTTGCTGATTCTCTGCAGTTCAACGCTGACAAGGTTGGATAATGCCCATTGTCTTGCCATTGCCTTTTGTAAATGTTGTGTTCTCTGTTATTACTGTGTCTTTGTCCCAGTTCACTGCTTACTCAATTAGGGCAGGGGGAAAAAACAAAACAAAACAAAGCTGTGTGTTTGGAGTGGGCATGCAGATCCTTTCCTTCAGCACGTTTTCTTGCCAGAGCACATTCATTTTTATAGCTGAAATTAGATGGCCCTTCTGAAGAGTCAGGGGGAATTGTGAGTCAGTGCCTTTTCTGTATTCTGGTGTGAGATAAATTTTCTGATATTTAGATTTGTGTTAGTTGCCAAATGTATGAGCTGCTGTCACACATAATTTCTTTAAAACCTTGTATTGGTTTAAAGTCTCCTCAGAATTATACAAGGTGGTCCTAAAGGCCCTCCTGTGAGTTCATCAATCCACAAATAATTGTGTACCTGCAGAGTCTGTTGAATATTCATACAGTGCATCCATGTAATCAGAACCATGTAACTGTTTCAACACTTGGAAATCTATACTTGGATAGTCTCATACTCCGATGAAATTATAAATCCAAAATGGAAACAAAACTTTACAAGAACTAGACTATAATTTGATCATGAAAAGGAAGAGAGCTGTCAACAGTTTCTTTCAGGGATGCATTTTATGAATATTCATTGAATTTTTATGTGATTGTAACGTGGATAACCAAAGATGCTGTGTCTGAAGGAATATGTTTTCTATTACTATAGGAATTACAGAATTCAAGTAGAGTTATCTTCCGTTGTTCCCCAACTAACCCTTTTGCTCCCACACCATTTAAGGTTTGTCTTAGTGAAATGTTCACGAGTAAGTGGGTGTGTTACAGTGTGCTGTGTGTGTACATTATTCCTGTGTGCAAACATGGCATGGAGTGAGCTCAAGTACACTTTGCATTTTTGCCAATGAAAACGAAACAATCTTTGTTAAAGAGTTATATTATCATTAACGGAGTTTAAGAAGTGTCAGCAACAAGCTAATTACGTGATCCCAGTGCATAGGGGGGTTTCAACAACTAGTAAAATTGAACACCTCATTGCCCCTTTAGTAAATACAAGCTTGTATTTTTTATGATTAATTAGTTATGTTATGGCACCATTTTTAGTTTACTCACAGTATGAAAATGTAAGATCCTGAACAGTTTTTAGACTGCTTAGGATTTGTTTGTTTTTAAGGAAAATCACAGCTCAGAAAAGTTATGTACCAAGTAACATCTATGGAATTTGCATCCATCAATTTATTAAAATTATGGGAAGTTTATATTAGATTTTGCCCTACTTTTTAAAAAGTACAACAGGCTTAATTCATGCTTGCTAACATTTTCCATTGTTACAGAGAAGCAAATTTTTTTTGTTTTAACCAAAAGAATCCTAAATTCCCCCCTACTTAGTATGCTTAATGAACCTTGATTGGATCAAATAAGGGGTTTTGTTGTTGTTTTATTTTTACTTGTACATTGTTAATTTGAGAGCTTTATGGCACAGCATTTGGGAAGATAACAAGGATGTTGTTTGCACTAGTAATTTTTGTCTGTTTGGCCAATGGTGAATAAACCAAACATTTTAATACAGCTCAGTCTGTAACTTTGAAAATCTATTGCCCGTAAGTCCCTGTCAATCAGCTTTCTTGTGCTTTGCCAGAAAAATAGCAATTCATGTTTATTACGATCATTTGGGGGGTAGCTTAGAATCTTGAAATGCTTTCTGAAACATCAAAGATCACACTCAGTGCCATATAGTTTTAGTATTAGGTATATTTTGTGGCATTCTGATTCTTGACACCAATTAATTCCTAAGTATTTGTACATGCCTATCATTTAGTGTGTTCTATAAGAAGCTTTGTTTTTTTAATCACAGTATTTTTTCCAGATATACACATATAAAGCAAGGTATATCAGAGGGATATTAGTGTAGAAAAAAGGTAAAATAAAGAAGGGTATGAAAACTTGTGTTCAAGGCATCGGGACAGTGTCATGCCAGGGTTAGAATTTCAGCTGGGTACGTCTGACCTGTGAACTAGGCACTATCTTACTGTGAAAATTGGAGAACACAGCGTGGCATAAAGGAAAGTACATTGGATTGGATTAAGAATTGAGCAAAAAGTAGTACCACTGTGTGATTTTGACAAAAAAAAATCACAAAATCTCTCACTTCTCGTAGCCTCAGGTATTAATCTACAAAATAAATAAAATGAACTCAGTGATTTAAGGTCCTTTCAAACTCTACTATTCCGTTCAATAATCTGTAATAGAAGAACTTGATGATACCAAGTCCATTTTTCTGGAATAGGACCTATATGGCAGCAAGTATACCACACTTTGGGTTTATATGAAGTATTTTCTCATGTTTTCTCATTCACCTTGTGAGCTGTCTTTGCAAGGGGTTAGTATAGTGTTGTCCCTTAAAACTAGCCCCTCAGAGCTGACCTGCGCTCTATGCTGACAAACTGGCTCCTGGTAGATGAACCTGCATGTGTAATGCTCGTTTTCATGGATTTGTTGAGAAAGTCACTCAGAGAGAGGATTCAGGTAGCAAGAAAAAAATCATAAGTCTCACTAACAAGTTTTGAATTTCTTGGATTGATAAATTAACTTCTTTGTTATTCTAGTTTCTTGGAAGACTTTTCTAGATCCCCCAAAATCTTAGCCAGACCGCTGCATATGTATAACTTTTGAATGAAAATTTTTTTTTCCAAAAGGGGAAGTTTGTACAATTTTTCACCTTAAATTATTTAAGCCTTCAAATTGAATAGTTTGTCACCTTAACCTGCCAAATAACAGTTTAATGAATTGTACTTTGAACATAACACTTTGTTTTTCTGAACTTTACCTGAATCCTATCTACCATTTATACACACACACACACACACACACACACACACACACACACACACACTTTTTTTATTATTTATGTGTCAGATATTGTAAAGCCAGTTATTTTGGTTCTGTTTTTGACATTGTTCTCTATTTCTTTTCCTTATTTTTTTCCTTCCTGAGGCTGCACATACCCACGGCATTCTTCTTGTTCCCACAGGCACCCAGTCAGTCAGACTCAGAGCCAGAAAAGGCTCCATTGTGCAGCGTGCCTCCACCCCCTCTGTCGGCATTTGCAGAAATGAGCGGTGATCATGCACAGTCATCTGCGAGCAAAACCTCAGAAGACATGGACAAAGAGGATGAGTTTGGTTACAGCTGGAGTAAGTTGTCTTTTTGTAATACATTGAAGGATAAGAGGTATTAAAATACCTCTGCGATGCTCAAGGCTTATGCCCTGGATGAATGAGGATGTTTCAGCGTTAGTTATAAATACTGTGTGTGTGTGGGGGGAAATACTGTTTGTTTTTCTTGAATACCACACACATTCCAGAGGCATGAAGTCATTTCCCTGCTTTCCGTCAAGACTGCATTCCTGTTAAAGCCCACTTTGCCATTTGTCTGAGAATCAGAGGGCTGGGCACTCTCTCAGAAGCCAGCACTGGATCAGCAGCCTGTGGTCTTGAACAAGTCATCACTCCTCTGTAGACCTCAGAAGCCTCCTTGTAAAATCGGATCGTTGTTTATATTATGCCTTGACTTTGGGTATTTTCTGTACTAGGATGGTAATATTATAGAATAATGGTCGAGATGAAAACTTTGGGCATTTGGCACGTTGTTTAATCACCTCTAAGTTTTAGCCTGGTGATTTCTTTCTGTTTTTAAAATGCAGTTCTTACTTCGTTGATGGCATTAAAATAGATAACGTCTGAGGAATGCTAAGCACAGTGCGTGACCCACAGGAAGCCTTGAAAGGCAGCTGGTATTAGGGTCACTGGGGTGTCTCTGTTTTCTAAGGAAATAAATCATTTTACAGGGAAATATAAAAATTCAGTCAAAAGTTATAAGTGTGTCAGTGCTTAAAAAGTTTCGTTTTAGAAAGAGAATTATTTTCTTTAAGAAAGCTATGGCAGGTGCTTTTAGGAAATACAGAATATGAAAGTTGTGTTGCCAGATTCTAGAAGGATTCAGGAAATTACTGTTCATGAAATTGATACAGTTAAGAATCAATATAGAATACATGACATCAGTCATATAGTAACGTTATCTGAGATGATTTGTAAAGTTAACAGTTCTCAGTCTATTTTCAATGAAATTAGAGTACGTTGCTAATCCATCAAGGTGGCCAGAGCATACTCTGAGGAGAACATCAAATGAAATGTTTCAGTTACCTATTGTCATGTCACAAACCACCCCAAAACTTAATGGCTTAAGAAGATAATGTACAATATTATTAATCTGTCAAGGTGCTCTCATTGACTGGGCTCACTGGGACTGGGTCTCCAAGATGGCTTGCTCATGTGCCCAGCAGTTGGGGTTGCCACTGGCTGGTGGCTCACCTGGGCCTGTGGCACCTACATTTGGCCTTGTGTTCTTCAATTAAAGAATAAATCCTACCTCTTGAACCTGTGGGATGGCAGATATGAAGGGCCTCATCTGTGTAGGACATGTGTCTGAAAGCTGGGGCAGGTACGTCAGTTTGTTCTGGCCTGATGGCTCTGTGCAGCAAGCAAACCTACTTCCTTTATTCTGGACACATGGGCCAAGCAACTGCCCAACACGATGTGACACACATTGTGGATTCTCGTGTAATTCTCGTGTAGGAGAAAGCTTCTACTGACGTGAAGACGAACACTCAGGATGTTCTGTTCTCCCCTGCAAATGATGAATTAAATTTATTTTTTTGTTTTTTTTGGGTTGTTTTTTTTTTTAGCTGAGCCATCCGGCCACCTGTTGGCAGCTCAGCTCGGGCCGGGCATTGAACCGCTGTTGCTCAGCTCAAACACTTGAGCGAGCTCTTAACCAACTGAGCCACTCGGCCGGCCCTTAAATTTCTTTTTTAATCATAGCATGTCAACGTGAATCTCTCTTGGACATGATAACCCCAAGTAAACCGATGAATCAGACATTGCACCCTCTGTACCCTGGATGTAAAAGGGTTCCTCAAAGTTTGGGTATTCCAGGAAACCAGTCTTGATGGCCAGGTGGCCAGTCTATTTAGCTTTTTAACTGCCAAGGATTATTTTGGTACAAATAATGCCCTTTTGAGGTTATTCTAAATAGCCTTCCATAGTAAAGCATTTGGTTATGAATTAACTCTCAATATCTATGATGATGTTGTTGTGTGTAGAAAATATCAGAGACCGTTACGGAACCCTAATGGGTGAGCTGCATATGATTGAACTGGAGAAAGGCCGCAGTGGTTTGGGTCTAAGTCTTGCTGGGAACAAAGACCGATCCAGGATGAGTGTCTTTATAGTGGGGATTGATCCACACGGAGCGGCCGGGAGAGATGGCCGATTACAGATTGCAGATGAGCTTCTAGAGGTAAGTTCTGATGGAAAGTGCTGAGGTTACTTTCGCTGAATCGGTGCAGTGGAATCATTAGTTTTCAGAAAGTCCACCTGGGCCTCATATGGTAACGGAGAAAACTGTAATTCGCCTATTAAAATTGATGCATGGCAGCAAATTTGGCTCTAAACCTAATCTCTACTTAGTAGAGTCCATGTTCCCATTAATTTCCATGAAAAGGTCATGACTGTGTAGCACCAGAGACTACTTTTGCCCCTAGACAGTAATAAAGATCACACACTTCAAAAATATTTTTTTGTGTGTGCTGCATTTTTATTAGAAGCTTTTGAAAAGCCAAATGACCATTCACTCCCCAGTAATTAGACTGACCCACTGGACATTCTGGAAGTTAAAACCCTAATGGTGGAAATGACAGATGTTGGGTGCGTTGGGGTCAAGGTTAATGCTAATTAATAAAAACTGTAACTCAGCCCACCAAACAAAATAAATTTGTGGGTCATAGTTTAGAGTGTTTAGAATTGTATTTGCTTGTTTTGTTTGTCCTTGCCTCCTATAGGTTGGGATCCACATGTTTTTATATTGCCTTAATAGTCTTCCTCGTACCTTCTGTGTTTCTCTATTGGCTAGGAAGGTTCAGTTAGCAATGGTGAAATGACTAGATGATTGGCAGTTTCCATTAGATACCATGCTGCGTAGGCACATTCTGCTGCCCAAATCCTGAATCTATTCGCATTGCTTCTCCCAGTGGCCTGTGCCCAGGGCCTGAGTATTGAGACTAACTAGAAAATTTCACAGGGGATTTTTCCAGGATGTCCTGAGCAGGTCACAAATGCTTTGTACAAAGCACACTGAAGCCCCATGACAGCCAGGAAATTTACTCTCTACTCTCCTACAATAAGTCCAAGTGTTGCCTCTTTTAGTCCATGGAGATCAGACTGTTTGACATCATTATAATGTTGGTTTTCTTTAACATGAACTCTTCTTAACTCACCATCAAAGACAAGTTCATGTTCTGGGAAGGAAAATAAATGTAATATTTTAAAGGAAGAAAAATTGTGCTTTTCGTTAGCTAGATAGGATGATAACAATTTATATAATTAAAATTCCAGATTCAGTTAATGATATTTATTTCTCATAGATCAATGGTCAAATTTTATATGGAAGAAGTCATCAGAATGCTTCATCAATCATTAAATGTGCCCCTTCTAAAGTAAAAATAATTTTTATCAGGTGAGCATTTTCTGTTTCTGCTTTACTAAATACTTCTTAGCCTTTCAACTCTGAGTTCTTTTGAATGAAAATAAAACATTTATAAACACATGAGTGTTATAGTGCCGGGTCTTTGGGGTTACAGAATTTTCTCTAGTAATCCTTCTGCACCTTCAAGTAAAAGAATGAAGATAAAATGCACCATTTTGATATGACAGGTCAATGCATTTTCTTTCAGAAATAAGGATGCAGTAAGTCAGATGGCCGTGTGTCCTGGAAATACAGTAGAACCTTCACCGTCTACCTCAGTGAATCTTCAACTGAAGGAGGTATGCAGCTTGTGTTTGTTTCTCTGGGACCATTTGCTTGATATACCATTTATTAACTCAGCTAACAATTATAGAACCCTTATAGAGCTATCAAAGATGAAAAGTCATAGCCTTGGCCCCCACAGAGTTTATAGCCTAGTACAAGCACTCAGGTAAAAAGCACACTGCTTACAGGAAGGCTAATAGGAGGGCGTATGTAGGGGATAATGGACACAGAAGAGCAGGTATCAGTTCTGCCTCTGGAGGTAATGAGAATAAGACTTTATTGAGGAGTCTACACACAAAATATATGTTGGAATTAGGAGACTTGCGGACAAAAACATTGTAAGCAGAGGGCATGAATTGGGGAGCCCTGGCAAATGCAGAGAATTAAAAACTACAGAGCATAGTGAACAGTGGAGTCAGGGAACGTGGAGCTGGTGAGGAAAGAGTCACTGAGATAGGAGGTATGCAGGGTCAGATCATGAGAATATGATGAAAACTTTGTTTTCAAGGCCATGTTGCTGGGAGCTCAAAGAATAGGATTGTATTTGTAAAAGCTCTGTAAATAGTGCAGAGAAAAATTAGAAGTTGCCAGAAAGAGAAGTTAAAACGAGTAAGAAAATTATCAGAGTGATTCAGGAAAAAGATAAGAGGTCCTGAACTAATACAAAAAAAAAAAACCCCAAAAAAGCAAAAAAAAAAAAGGGAATGGTTACATCAGATGTTTAGGACCCAAACTGACATTACTTCATCCCCAAGTAAATGTACTCATTGAGGAAAAATGAGTAGTTGAGCATTTACTTACCCAGCAAATATTTATTGGTTATCTGCCTTGTACCCGTTACTGTTCTTTGGGCTGGGAATAGGCTAGTGGGTGAAACAGATAAGATGTACAAGGTTTCCAGGCGTCTGTCTTGGTGACTTAATAGGTGGCTGACTTCTACCAAAATCGAAAAAAAAAAAAAACTGAAGAGAGGAACAGATACTTGTAAAAACAGAACAGATCTATTTGAGGCAGCTTAAGAGTGAAGTAGAGGTATACACTGGGACATTTGGTGTAGAGATTAGAGCTGAATCCCCATAGGTGCAGAATTGCTATTTGTTAGTCATGGAAGCCGAGGCTCTTGCCTACAGAGAACATTGAGAGAACAGGGCCAAGGTCAGAATCACATAATATCCACAATAAAGAGGAAGGCTAACACAGTGGTCAAAGACGATGCAGAACCCGGCAGGCATGTTGCACGGCAGGTGAGGACAGCGCGTTTCAAGAAGGGTGCATGCTGTAATACAACCTTGAGTGCTGCAAAGAGGTCAGGTGAGATGCATAAAGAGAGTCCATTGGACTTGGCAGTTAGGAGATTATTAGTGATTTTTGAGAAAGCAAGTGATGGGGAAGAAATTAGGAAAGAGAAGGCAGTGACTAGAGAGTGATCAACAATTGAGAATTTTTGGTGGGAGTTCTGTCCTTTGGATAAATGTTTAGGATGACTAGGAGGAGGTGCTCGAGAGTGAAAAGCTTAAAATTAGAGAAGCCATGATGATTATCAGTGAGAAAAGGTGTAGAAACAGAAACGCTTTCCTAAATGAGTTGATAAACATTGGGCTTATCTATACGTTAGATAGATCTACTAATCATTGCCTCACTTTGATGAACAGAGTCATTGCTCAGTATGGTAAAATGAATCAAGTGGTTTTTTCAAGATTATAAAGGAGAAAATTTTAGTTTCATATGAATTGTGCCAAATATGTCCCTTAAGAAAATGGGGTATTTTAATAATTTACAGATAAAACATTTAATGGCTCCTGAATTCACTTGATGACTAACACAATAAAGAATAGTGAATGGTACCTCTGTTGATGTTCTATGTGTCAATGCGTTTCACTCTTTGGAAGCTGGGTTGCTAGTAGATTTCATTATAGAGTAAATCTAGGTGGCTTGCGAGAACCACTTGTGTCTCTGTGCTCTAAAATAATCGCTGTCTAATCACACCTTATTAGCATTTTGAAGAAAATGGACTGTTCCTAAGTGTCATAAAATGTTAAAAATAGTAGTACTGGATTCCAGTATATGAAATAATTTTTATTAAAGTGGTCCTTATATTTAAGCAAGCAAAACTGCATAACACTCAGTTGGCCTGTTTTGCCATTTCTTTCCTTCTGTCAGGTTGAACCAAGTGTTACTACTGCCGCTGCAGCTGTGGACCTCAGTTCATTTAAAAATGTGCAACACGTGGAGCTTCCCAAGGTAAATCTGCTTTGAACTGAAGTGAAATGATGTGACTGCCTTCACACCAGTGTTCTAACTCACTGATTCTCAAAACTGTGGTCTCCAGACCAGCAACCTTAGCATTACCTGGGATCTTGTTAGAAATGCAGATGTTGGGGCCCAACCAGACCTACTGAATGAGTAACTGTGGGGGAGGGCCTGCAGCCTGTGTTTTTAATAAGCCTTCTCAGTGATGCCAGTGCACGCTGAAGTGTGAGAACCTCTGTGCGGATTGATATTTTATCAGGGACCAAGCCTCGCCTGCCTTTATGATATCAAGGTATGAAATTTCACAGCCTCCCTTTTGATTTCTTGACCAAGGACCTACTATGGGGGACATAAAAAGAACAAAGAGGCAGACGTTACCGTTTTTTTCCTTCATAAAACTGAATGTTCACATAACTAGAAGTTTCCCTGATAGACATCAAGGAGGTATTTGCTTTTGAAAAGATCTGAACCACAGGTTCAAATGACCACTTGAAAGAGGTGGTTTGCTGAATAGAGACCTGTAAGTGTTCTCAGATGCCACAGGCTCACGCTGGCCCACAGGTGGGCAGTGGAGGAGCAAGAGGAGAAGCTGAGAGCAGTGAAATGTCAGGGAGGAGGAGAAGGCAGGAGGCGGGCTGGGGGGATAGGAGAGTCTGGCCGTGAACGGCTGTGGGTGGAAAGGAGAGCCGTCCGTGGGCCGCTCGCCAGCTCTGAGCAGGACAGCGTGGAGCCTGAGGCCTGCGCTGCAGACGCCGTCTGTCTGGGTGAATCCTTGTTTCATCAGGTGTACGCTGGACACATGGTGTGATCTTCCTTTACCTTAGTTTTCTCACATGTAAATTGGAGATGATTATATGATCTTCAATGTAAGTAATTGTGAAGATCAAGTGAGTTGTTTATAAACAGGTTGGTATAATGCCTGGCACATGGTCAGACTTTGTTGTGTTTAGGGGAAAAAAATATACTATGACTTTATTGATTTGGTTTCCTTTTTTTTTGCAGTAGATAACCCTAAATATTCATTCAAGATAAGTCCTTATGGACAATTCATGTTGCAGGTAGAGAGGGAAAAGAACAGAAGCCATTATTAATGGTCTTCAACATATCACTTGGTCACTTACTCCTATTGGCCCCAGTTTCCTCTTCTATAAATGGAGCTTCCTGCATAAGTTTTTCCTTTTTTTTTTTTTTAAAGATTTTATTGGGGAATTGGGGGAGGGTAACAGCGCTGGGGGATCGGGGAGAAGGGAAACAGACAAGTTGCTGTTCTTTTTGTTCTTCAGTCTAGTTGTAGAGGACGTCGCTTCACTGACCCATGTTGGTATTATCATTGCGCTCTTCCCAGGTGAGGCAGATGGGTCACCGGCCTCTGGACGGCTGCTCACGGCGGCTCTTGGCAGCTCACACTGGCTGCTGGCCACTCACTCTGGCTGCCAGCCACTCACAGTAGCTTATGTCAGCCCACTGCAGCAGGGGCTGCAGCCTACACCCTGGCGGCGACTCACAGCAGCCCAGCTCCAGGTCGAGCTGTAGGGTGCAGTGTCACTGGTCCTCATGTGGGATCCAAACCAGGGCCCTACTGCTCAGAGCTGGTGTCCCAAGCCAGCTCTTAACCAACACGCCACTCGGCCGGCCCCCATAAGTGTTTCTTTTGGCGGGGCAGTTGTTGTTGAAGCTAACACAAGTTTCCTTTGCTCTATAAAAAAAATGAAAAAAAAAATTAAAATGCTGGTCTCTGCCTTTAGCCTCCTGTTGATTTAATCAGCAGGTGTCGATTATATGCACTTCCCTTTGCAATGGAGGAATCCAAGAACTTGAAGAACTTCAAATAATTTAATGTTAAAGTCACATGTGTGTTTTGTGTCATTTGCTACTAGCAACCCTCTGAGATGCTGTTCCTTTCCCCACCTGTAACAGTTTCCATAACTCCAAATGGTAGGGCTAGAACTTAAACTCTGCTCTTCTACTTCCAAGTCCCATTTCCATTCCATTTCAGTTTGTGATTGGGCCCCATTTATCTTTCTAAAACCCCTAATACCGTATTTTGCAGTGTATAATGTGCTCCTGTGTGTAATGCACACCTATGTTTTTGGCCCAAACTTGCAGGGAAAAAAATATTTTCGTTTTAATTTTCCCAGGGATTTTCCAATGATTGTTGTAAAAACATCAGCTAGATTGCTAGCTCCCACCTAAAGGATAGGAAGAGAAATGTCGTGCTCTTCACCCTATGGTAATAAGGTCAGCATCACCTATCTTATCAAGTCAGAGTCACTTACTCTGTGGACAACAGTATGTCACTCTTCATTTCATTTCGTTGAATTGGCCAAAATTACTGTCATTGAAAGTTCTTTGTAAATTCAACAAAACCAGTTATCAAATTCCACGGTAGTATTTTGCATATGGATATCATTATTGACTTCTAGAGTTACACTTTTAACTCATACGCATAAATAAAAGAATTCAAAACATTTATAAAGATACGGGATTAGTACTATCCATGTATAATGCGCATCCATATTTTTCCCTCACAAATTTGGGTAAAGTACGCATTATACACAGCAAAATATGGTATGTTCCTTTTATGAATCGTCCACTTTATTCAAACTGATGTGAAACAAAAGCCCATGGAGGTTACTTTGAGATTTCACCTGCCCTTGCCTTTGCTTATATCACTTGGAATTGTCCTGCTTTCTTTCAGCTTATCTAAATCCTATATAACTCAAGACCTAGTTTAATCTCATCTCTGTTTATTTTGAAACATTTCTTCAGTATTCTGGCCTATGTAATACTTACTATTAATGACTTCATTTATTTGTCATGTAACCATGTACAGCCCAAGGGCATGCATCTTGCAGTAAACTTTCATGTGAGTATATTTTCTATACATGTAAATCACACACTTGTTAGAGAAGTAACTCTTATACTTTGTCCCATTATCCTATATAGTATTGTGTACCTTAGTTTCTAATAAGTGTGTGGGAGGAAGAAGGAATTAATGCTCTTTACCTGCAGTGTATGCACAAGGGAAAAGATGTTAGCGATCAGGAGACTCAGGAAGGAGAGAATAGTTGTACTGTTTAAAGAGAAACTAAAATCACAGGTCATGTATCGTTCTGTTTTGACTTTGTAGAAACTGTCTTGACTTGTCAGTTCTTTTTATTCCTTTTTAATCCATTTTTTAAGTGGGAAAATATAAGTATAAAATGTTTATAATGTATATAATCTGAACCCTCAATGGCTAACTGAAATACTAGTTCAATTCAACAGACAAAATATTTTGATTAAAGATTTATTTTTAAGACATTTTGCCCTAGGATAGTACATACATCAAAGCAGGTGACATGATTGTCAAAGATATGCTCCATATCCATTCAATTTTATATGGTGAAAGTCTTCAAATACAACTAAGAGTTTCTCTTCTGAATTGTAGGGAATCTTCCTATTCACACTAATTTTCCTGATAATCATAGTAGTTTGTTTAGCTTAGTCCCACTTTTAATTCTTGTTTATGCTTTTCTAGCTGTTTAATTATACAATTGTTCCTTCATAAATATATTTCCTTAATTTGTTTCATATTCCCTGTATTGTGTACTTTAATAACTAGCTCTGAAAGATGTTTCTCAGATCTTTTTTTTGTTAAGGTATACACACACACACACACACACACACACACACACACACACACTATGGTAGAAGTAGGTTGAAAATTGAGCAGTTAGGAAAGAAATTGCACACTCACACCCTACTATCCTTACTTAAATGTCATCCTGCTTGTTTGATATCAATAGATTAGATGTGTATATATTTATTTTTATAGTATTCTAAGTGGTATTGGGGCATATTATACATACAGATGTGTTCATTATTGTTCCTTTTAGGACTCTGCCTGTTGCAAATAAGAGTGAATGAGTGAGTGAGCGAATGAATGAATGAATGACTAATTCCTCAGGCTTAATCAGAGAAGGGTATTTATGGATTCAAGTACCTGGTCAACAATTTTCAAGGATAATTGATCCTGTGGCTCAACGGTATCATCAAGAGCCAGTTCTTTACCTCTCCCTGCACAGTGTCAGCTTTATCCCAAGGCTGGTCTTGCTCATGATTTTAAATGGCCGCCAGCTAGTAACTGTCCCAGAATTGGGAGCCAGAGTCCTGAGATTCATCTGAATCGAATCAGTTCTGTTCACATGCCTACTCCTGCGCTGGGGACTATGGCCACAGAAGAGAATTGTGCAGTTGACTTATGTCATTCAAGCTTTATCTTTGTAGCTACTCTTCCATTGCTACATAACAAATTACCACAAAACTTAGCAGTTTTAAATAATAGACATTTATTATCTCACAGTTTCTGTGGTTTAGAAATTTGGGAGCAGTTTAGCTAGGTGGTCTGGTTCAGAGTCTCTTGTACAGTTGCCTACACACTGCCAGCCGGGGCAGCAGTCGTCTGAAGGCCTGAATGGGGCAGGGGAATTCACATCCAAGATGGTTTACTCAAATTGCTGCTGGCAAAAGGCCTTATTTCCTGTCAATGGGGCTGCTTGGGTTCCCTCAGTGCGAATGATCCAAGAGAAAGCAAGGAGGAAGCTATATGCCTTTTTTTGACCTAGTCGTAAAATTGCACACCGTAACTTCTGCTTTATTCTGTTTATTGCAATCAAATCATCAAGTCCCGCCCACACTCAGGATCCCCTTGTTGAATGGAGGAATGCATGGAGGAATATCAGAGTTTGTGAACATATTTGAAACCACCAGCTAAAACATAGGCAGAGAGAGGCGAGGCGAGGCGAGGCATGTGTATTGTTTGAGGCAGCAGTGGAACAGGGCTGGATATAATAACAAAAATCTATGAGTTTGTATAAAGGAGTAAGATGAGAATGGGTGTTAGGTGAACAACCAGCAAATGGCTACTGTACTAGCAAAGTACTTTCCTGACTACAGTTAAATGAATAGACACTACTAGAATCAAATCTTAGAATTGAGTACATACAATCATTGTAGATACGCAGTATTACTTATTCAAACAAATGTTCCTTTGTAATAATAGGAAAGACTATTAGTGTGGAAAATCTCAAATAGAGGGTAACTAGATTATTTACATTTGGCATTGACAATGGGATTTTGTCAGTTTGGTAGTACATTGACCTTTTTATTCATTATACCTGATTCTTTGGCTACGAGATCAGGGTTCAGGGTTTCTGTGTACTGGCATGTTGAAGTAGATTTGATTATATCCCGTGAAGTTAATAGCAGAAGAACAGCACCTTTGTATAAAGCATCACACTTTCAACCCCTTTCTTATTACCCTTGATTCTTATAGCAACCTTGTTGTTGGGCAAGTAGTATTATTCCTTTTTGTTTTAGGTAAGAAAATTGAGGTTTAGAGGTGTTAAATCTCTTACCCAACTTTCTACAGCTAGACAGAAAGTAAATTAGAACAGAGCTCTACCCACCGTAAAAGCATAGTTTTATCTTATACACATAACTGATTGCCTGCAAAGAGAGTGGTGGTATAGAGCTGCACAGTGAAGTCTGCAAGTTGTCAAGCATTAATAATCTACCTCAGAAAAGCCGCAATGTTGGTAATCTTTAAAATGACGGTGAAGCCTTACGTCACTGTCATGGTCATGATCCTAAATGCCCCCCAATGGCAAGCGTGGCTCTCACATATATGACTCAGAAGAACCATGACGAGATTCCCTTTTTCTTTCTTTTGCTTTACATTTCCCTAGATGGAAACTATAATGAAAAATGCTGCTAGCTCTAGCCAGAACGAAAATGTCCAAACCCCTATTTTAATACTACGAATGTAAGCATGAAAGAAAGGTAAAAGCCGGTATTTTGAACATTTGGTTTTGATAAAAGAAAATGTGGAAAATATAAACAAAGTAGGTTGTAGCTCTGTAGACTTGGCAGGTTCTCAGGGCAGGTCTTTGGGCTTAGAGTTGAGAGCATTTTCACTCTGCACCAGATCAAAACACAAGTCCCTGGAGAAAGAGCTCTGTGTACTCAGCCCCAGAAAGGACAGAGCGTGCAGCAGTGACTTCAGTGTGTCTGCTACAGGAAGAAGGGCGCCGAAAGGGGTGAAGGGTCCGTCTTGGTGGTTATTCCTAAGCTGTAGGCCAGAAGGAGGAAGCAGGGGGATACTTTGGTTTTGAATGACTTAGGCAGTGACACACAGCTAAATTCTCAGATGTTGTATGTTCATGAAATTATTGAATGCACTTTTGTTCTCTGGATATTTTGCTAAAGTTGCTAGAGATATGTTACTGGCTATACAGAGGGTGCTAAAGAAATATACACATTTTAAGAAATTTTAAGAAAGGAAAACTGTATTAAAATTGTAATGCTCAATATATACGGATAACAAAAGATGAATATAAGTCACGTTTGACTTCTGCAATTACAAGAGGTGCTCAAAGTGGTTACCATCAGTGTCCAGACACTTCAGATTACGGCGAACTACTGCTTGAGCAACACTGACCAAAGTGTCCATTTGTATGCATTTTCATGTTTTTGGCATCCCTGATATATGCTGAAGATACTAAAGATAGATATATGGGAGGAGTGAAAATATTCTGAAGATATTAAAAATAGATATATGGGAGGAGTGAAAATATTTGAATATTTGATGGAAAATTTATTCCCATTAAACAAAATTGGAAAATTTGTTAAAAAAAAAAGATTTCTGATAGTGGACATTAGAACAGTTACGCTTTTCTAGCCCTTGGGTAGAAGGTGACATTCAGAAGTTATGGCCTTATATCTTTCCATTTGGACAAATGTGATCTCTTTCGAGTTTCCTGAGTGTTCTGGTTTTTATTTCTCTAGGATCAAGGGGGTTTGGGCATTGCTATTAGTGAAGAAGATACACTCAACGGTGTCGTCATAAAGAGCCTAACAGAGCATGGGGTAGCAGCCAAGGTGAGGCTTTACCTCTCTCCCTGTCAGAAGTGGTGGAGAAGGAAGTTACTTCTGCATAATCACTCAGAATCTTCCGTGTTTCCATTTAGGATGGACGGCTCAAAGTTGGAGATCAGATCTTGGCTATTGATGATGAAGTTGTTGTTGGCTATCCTGTTGAAAAGGTACTTTTTCCAAAGAAAGCAAATGTTACTGTGACTCATCCTTGGCCATGGCTAAAGTGTGAGTGTGCATATGCATGTGAGGTAGTGTGTGCGTGCGCACGCAGAGATGGGTGGGGTGAGTTGGGGTGGGTGTGTCTGGTCGATGGTAGGGAATTAGAGCTATGTCACTATGTTAGACAGATACCTCTTCTAAGAAAGAAGGGATTATTTGGAAGTTCTCCAATTTGTATGTTCTAATCAAGGTGATGTTGAGCTATTTTCAGTTGCCTGATAAATTCAGTGTTCAGTGTGCATTTTTCATAAATATCGTTTCCATTTTCCCTTAGGAAAATGAAACTTCTAAACAAAAGTTAACTTAGTGTTAAGACCAAAGTAATAGTTTTTTTTTTATGAATGTTTGCTCCCATAAATATCCACTGTGTATATTGCTTTGTAAACAAATTTTAGGACTCAGTCATTAAACATATAACTTTTGATGGGGTTAACAGTTATTTGTACCTGAGTTTCCTCCTCCTCAAAAAAGATCATAATACTTAGGAGTCTCACTTCAGGCCTTTCATACATCAATGCTGGAAAAAAAGGTGAGCTTCTTTTGAGATTTAGTGTGTAATGTTTCCATTTCTGCACTCGCCAACAAGAAGCTTAAATCAGTTTTTTTAATTCAGTTTTAATAATTGTATAGGTTGGATTCTTTAACTCATATGTTTATATTCTAACTTTCCATTTGACTTGATTCTTCTGTTGCATAGTTTTCCTTATCCTGCTTTTAACAGAAGTGTTTTCCATTTTATTAAAAATTTATAAGCTGCTTTAGATTCTCTGTAGAGTCAGGAAGTAGGTGAGATACCCCATATATCTTCTAAGGTGGTAGGGTTCCAGAGAATTGGACAAGACTGATTGGAAATGCAAAGTTGAAGACCCTGTATTTATGTAAGGAAGAGTAAGGACAGAACTAGGCTTATAGTAGAAATTAACTGTTGCCTTAATATCAGGCAATTGGAGAAACTGGAAAGAAAGTACAACCCATTCTTCCTTGACCCCTCAAGTCCTGACAAGGAAAGAATTTGCCTCTGATTCTTCTCCAAACTATAGATAGTTTTAGATTCCAACTATGGTAGTGACTTATTTGGATAAGTCTATTAATTTGCCTTTGAATTTTGTTTTCCCTCCACACCAACCCCCTGACAGTTTATCAGCCTTCTGAAAACAGCAAAGACAATGGTGAAACTTACAATTCATGCTGCAAATCCAGATTCCCAGACTCTTGATTCAGCAGTGGGGACAGCCAATGGGGAAAAGAAGAACAGCTCCCTGTCTCCGATGGTCCCACCATCTGGCTCCCCAGAACCGGAGCCCATCCGAAGTAAGACCTGGTCTCATGCGAGTCCTGCATGCCTGGCACACACAGTCTCAGCAGTGGGTCTCTACTGGGGAGCCAGCTGCCCGCCTGGGGCTCGGTGTTTGAAAAGCCATAGTTAGTTAGGGCACTCTTTGGTGAAAGGATGGTCTAAAGAGAAGGAGCAGTGCCCATTAGCAATGGATCTGTGTGCTGTCTATTGATCGGCCTTAGGGTCTTAGGAAGTCACCCACCCCCTCTGAGCCTCAACTTCTTCAACTCTAAAACAAGAGAGTGGTACTCTCCTCTCCAAGGACCTTTTGCTAAGGGAATCTATGATTCCAAGTATCTGATTAATGAGTTAGAAACATCATTTTGTACATTCCTGTTTTATACTGAGCAAGTAATTTAACTTCTCTTAGCCTGAATGTACTAAGTGGATACAATGTAAATTGAAGACAGTGATACCACTTCACCAGTGGAATCAACAGTGCTTGGCACTATGAAAAACTCTTAAAAATGTTAATCATTGCAGTAACATCTGTAGTTGATCTGAGTCCTGTCATTTGGGTGTAATAGTAGATACTGTGAAAGTCAATGAAATGGTTGTATGTGGACGAAGGGATAGCATTTGCATGGATCATTAAAATGTCAGTCTAGTATCTTGATGCAAATTACTTCTTCAGGATACTTTTTGGTGAAAATTAGAATGGTGTTTAATAAAACAATATGTTTTAAGCTTTGCGGCGTTAAAAAAAAAAAGTACTTAAACACATTGGCTTTTCTTCAATTGGGGGAAAAATAAAATCTCTTTGGCATCCAAACTGCAACATTCAGTTCTTTTGACAGGTTTTTAAGGAAACAGCAGTTTAAAACATTTGTAATATAGTTGGACAAAAAAGTCTTAAAGTACTATATATCTGATGAAAGTGATTCTTTATTTAGGAAGCCTGAATTGTTCACTGAATTGTTAAAAAACTGTATGGAAATTTTCTCATTTCCAATTTTATGTTGATCCCTAAATAGCATTGTCTATAAAAATATGAAATGCTAAATGAAAACGTAGCATAAAAGAAAATATCGTACACCTGCTCTTACCATTTCACAAGCAAGAAAATAGTCTGTCTCTGATTTTCTAAACAGAGACCATCATGTCTAAAGTTACTTTACTAAGTGTCCCAGCTCTCCCAAAAACGCTATTTGCTGTATGCTCTTTGGTATATCATAAAATGCATGATATGAAGACTCTAATAAAATAAGGTGTGAAATTATATTTACTTTGTTTTCTCATCACCTGTTATTATCTATTCAGTTCTGAGCACATATGTACCAGTATGTCATATCTGAATTTATAAAACATCAAGGAAAGACACTGCAAGTGATCTCAACATTTTGTAAACTCAGATATGAAGTCCAGTTGCATAATGCTCAGATTTGATTACATAAGAAGGTATGCTCTTAAGATAAGAAGAAAAGGAAAACCAAAACAAAAACATAAAAAGTCCTGAGAGGCAGGCGCCATGACCAAAATTGTTAATGTTCTTTGTGTTTTGTGGTCATCACTGAATATGTTTTAGGTCCTGCCACACAACTCAGCTCTGAGCTTTACAAATCATGATTTCGTAAGTAGTTTGTTTGGCTCCAGTGAAATGTAGAATATCAAAATGAAACTAGAGGTTCAACTCAATTCTCTACACTCATTCCTTTAACCGTAGTATGTCTAGCAACTTAAAAAATACAGAATAGTGCAGAAAATAATTTAACAGGTAATTTTGTGCCTACCACCCTAAATTAACGATGATTTAATCATATTTATTTGGTAGTTTAAAATAGAACTAAAAGATTAAGGTGAAGTCTTCTTTATCCCCAGTTGAGCCCATTTCCCCGCTCCTAGAGGCAACAAGTATGATGAGCTTATTGTATACGCCTACTAATCATTTTTTTTTAATTTGTATTTCATTTCTTTTTTAACTTATTTTTAGATACAAGCAGGTCATCCACACCAGCGATCTTTGCTTCTGATCCTGCCACCTGCCCCATTATCCCAGGCTGTGAGACAACCATTGAGATTTCCAAAGGGCGAACAGGGCTGGGCCTGAGCATTGTTGGGGGATCTGACACCCTGCTGGTGAGGACATACCCAGAGATGCTACAGAGACACAGGCAGCCCCTTCAGGGAGCCCTCAGAGATCATTATCAGAGAGATTTCTGTTACTTTTAGTAAATGAAATATAAAGGCTTACAAAACGTATCATTCATGTTATTTTAATTTGTAAGACACATATTTAATTGGGTATTGGGATTTTTAATTTGAGTAAGCCAGTAATGACTCAAAATTCTGTTACACTTGTGATTGTGACCTTTAGGTTCAAATTTTAATTCCTTTTTACTGACTGGATGTGGTGGGTGAGACCCATATTGAGAGGAGTCTGAAAAATTGGATAATTTGTAGGCAAAATTTTCTAAATGTCAAAAATGCTTTTAAAATCTAATCATTTCATATGTGGGTAGGAAATGTCATATATATATATATGTTATATATGTGTGTAAGATTTATATATTTTATAATTTTTTCTTAAAGCTTTTCAATCATTGGAAAGAAGTATAAGCTCTTTTGAGCCTTTTAGAAAATTGTTACACTTTTCTTTGAATTTTGATCTGTAATTCACATATGGATCCAGTGAGGGTATAAACCATATAAAGTGCAGTGTTTTGACTCCATTGCTGCTCACCATCCCTGGGGAAAATAGGATAAAGCATGGTTGTATTTTGTCTGTGTTACTTAGGGTGCCATTATTATCCATGAAGTTTATGAAGAAGGAGCAGCATGTAAAGATGGAAGACTCTGGGCTGGAGATCAGATTTTAGAGGTAAAGAATGATATGTCTTTGACCTTTATAGTAAACAGAAAGAAGACTGCCCTGGGGAGAGTGGTCTTTGTGTGTTTGTTTCTTTCTTTCTCCCTCTCTCCTTCCCTTCCCCTTCCCTCTCATTTTTCTCCAACTCCTTCCCCCCTGCCTTTCTTCACTTTTCTTAATTCACCTGATTCCTCACAGTCTGTGTCCCATTTCTGTACAGGTGAATGGAATTGACTTGAGAAAGGCCACACATGATGAAGCCATAAATGTCCTGAGACAAACACCACAAAGAGTGCGCCTGACACTCTACAGAGATGAGGCTCCATACAAAGAGGAGGATGTGTATGACATGCTCACCATTGAGCTGCAGAAGAAGCCGGGCAAAGGCCTGGGATTAAGTATCGTTGGTAAAAGGTAAGACCGAAGAGGGCGAACACCATGACCTTTTGGAAATGATTGAATTTAAATTCGTTGAAAGAGTACTAGCAGTAGTAGGTGCTCTATAAACTGCTAACGTTTTATAGGTAGCTATTGCCAGCCCACTCACAGAGGAACATCAAGAGACATTGGTTTTCACAGAAAATTAACACAGAAGCAGTGGCCTTAAATGACACTTTAGACCAGCTGGATTTAATCGATATTTTCAGAGCATTTCACCCCAAAGCTACAGAATATACATTCTCCTCAAGTGCACATGGAACATTTTCCACATGTTAGACCACATGTTAGGCCACAAAACAAGTCTCAATAAATTTAAGAAGATTGAAATCATATCAAGCGTCATCTCCAACCACAATGCTGTAAAACTAGAAATCAATTATAAAAGAAATCTGGAATGCACACAAATACATGGAGGCTGAATAATATGCTCCTAAATAGCGAGTGGATCAAAACTGAGATCAAGGAGGGAATCAAAAGCTATCTCAAGACAAATGAAAATGAAAACACAACAACTCAAAATCTATGGGATGCAGCGAAGGCAGTCCTAAGAGGAAAATTCATAGCATTGCAGGCCCTGTCTAAAGAAAGAAGAACAATCTCATATCAACAGACTATCTTTACACCTAAGGGAACTGGAGAAAGAACAGCAAAACAAGCCCAAAGGGAGTACAAGGAAGGAAATAATAAAGACCAGAGCAGAAATAAACGAAATAGAGACCAGAAAAACAATACAAAAGATCAACGAAACCAAGAGCTGGTTTTTTGAGATAGATAAACAAAATTGACAAACCTCTAGCTAAACTCATCAAAAAAAGAGAGGGCTCAAATTAGTAAAATCAGAATTGAAAGAGGCGAAGTAAAAACAGACCCCACAGAAATACAAAAAATCTTAAGAAATTACTATGAGCAACTATATGCCAACACATTTGACAATCTGGAAGAAATGGATAATTTCCTAGAAGCATACAACCTTCCAAGAGCTAACTCAAGAAGAAACAGAAAATCTGAATAGACTGATTACCACCAAGGAAATTGAATCAGTAATCAACAAGCTCCCAACAAATAAAAGCCCCAGATCAGGTGGCTTCACAAGTGAATTTTACCAAACATTCAAGAAAGAATTATCACCTATTCTTCTCAAACTATTCCAAAAAATCCAGAAGGAGGGAAGGCTCCCAAACTCTTTCTATGAAGCCACAATCACCCTGATTCCAAAACCAGACAAAGACACTACAAAAAAGGAAAACTACAGGCTGATATCTCTGATGAACATAGATGCAAAAATCCTCAACAAAACCTTAGCAAACAGAATTCAGCAATATATTAAGAAGCTCATACATCATGACCAAGCGGGTTTCATCCCTAATACGCAAGGTTGGTTCAACATCTGCAAATCAATTAATGTGATACACAACGTCAACAAAAAGAAAAAGAAAAATCATATGGCCATATCAATAGATGTAGAAAAAACATTTGACAAAATACAGCAGCCATTTATGATAAAAACTCTTAGCAAAGTGGGAATTGGGGGATCATATCTCAACATATTAAAGGCCATATATGATAAACCCACAGCTAATATCATACTTAATAGGGAAAAGGTAAAACCATTCCCCTTAAGATCAGGAACAAGACAAGGCTGTCCACTTTCTCCACTTTTATTCAACATAGTTTTGGAAGTTCTAGCCACAGCAATCAGACAAGTAAAAGAAATAAAAGGCATCCATATTGGCAAGGAGGAAGTAAAATTGTCATTATATGCAGATGACATGATGCTATATATAGAGGACTCCAAAGACTCCATCAAAAAACTATTGGAACTAATAGACAAATTCAGTAAGGTAGCAGGATACAAAATTAATATTCAGAAATCAGTTGCATTTGTATATACCAATAATAAACTATCAGAAGGAGAAATTAAGAAAACAATTCCATTTGCAATTGCTTCAAGAACTATAAAATACTTAGGAATAAATTTAACCAAAGAAGTAA